GCTCTTTCGCAGCTGTGTTGAAGGATATCTTCCCAATGTCACCAAATGTTCCTGTCCAGGCTGCGACGCCTTGAGAGCATTACCGACTTCCTGGTGGCCTGCACTTTATAATGGTTTATATGTCCGTGCCAACATCTGTCTTCGAGACCCCAATCTACACATGTATAAACACATGCATACGTATTTCCCCAAAGCTTGATAACAGCGAGTTATGAAAACAGCCCTATGCATGTTCACTCTGTAGGAAAGAGCTCAGAGGCGCGAGGCGAGGCCTGCCAACAGCGTCCGCTCCATCAATCCGATGCAGGCACGCGTTTGCCAGTGATCCATTCCATGAGATATGTAGTCGGGATGTGGGATTTCTTTTCATTTTTTTATTATTTTTTTTTATGAAAGGCTCTTTACCCAGAAGGAATGGATTTGCAGGACTGCTTTGATCCCTCCTTTATGATTCTTTTATTTGTTTTAGCCACATCCCCTCTCTAAGTCGCACTTGGTGAAATGTGCTTTGAATTAGGAGTTGGGGGAAGCGGGTTTTTTTTTATGCTGGCACTGTTTATATATAAAATAATTATTTTATATTTTTTATATTATTTACATGCACTATATTTAAAATAATTATTTATACAAAATAAAATCACAAATAAAATCCATCCTGTCTTGGGCTTTCTATGATAAAATTAGCAGCCCAGAGGTAAGTGCACACGATCAATCATGACGATGCTCATATGTCAAACATATGATCCTGGGTTGCAACATCTAATTAATGAATTACAGTAATTAATTCATTTTTGGACCCTTTTCTTCTCTACTGTGCTATAAATAAAAATAATGTATAATTTTTTTTATTTCCCAAAATTTTATTTGTAAATGTTTAAAAATACATTTATCAATAACAATATTTGTATATTTTTATTAACACATATATATAGAATAGATTCTGAATAGATTTTGATGCAAATAAACGTGGCTACATGGTGCAGACTTTCATGTGACTATGGTTAGACTTTAAACCCATAATAGCTTCATTATTCAATTGATTTAGTCTGTTCAATAAAAAAGTGATGGTACCAACCAATGGTATGCATACACCTGGACATCCTTGGAAAGATTAAGATTTTGGTTTATTAAACCACATAAAAACTATTTTTCTCATACATACGTTACACTCATCTAAAGCTATATACAGTATACACTATATAGCAACTCTCAACTGCCTGATTCTTTTATTCTGTCGCAGTATGAAACTATAATATTGCCCAGCTCTTTATGTAAAGTTGCATATGTCCATCTTTATCCACATATACTCGTGTAAGGCAATATATACTATATATACTGATTGCTTGTATGGTCGCAAAAGGTAAACTATTTGATCACCCAGCACTAGTCAAGTCACCCTTATTTATATAGCGCTATTAACAATACAGATTGTGACAAAGCAACTGAACAGCATTAATTAGGAAAATAGTGTCAATAATGCAAAATGACAATAGTAAACACTCATTGTTCAGTTAAAGACAGTTCATCATTGAATTCAGTGATGTCAACATCCAGCTCAGTTTAAATAATATCTCTGCAATCATGTCAACGATAACGCCGGAAATGAAGTGTCCCCAACTAAGCAAGCCAGAGGCGACAGCGGCAAGGAACCAAAACTCCATCGGTGACAGAATGGAGAAAAAACCTTGGGAGAAACCAGGCTCAGTCGGGGGGCCAGTTCTCCTCTGACCAGACGAAACCAGCAGAACGGAAAAATCAATATAAGACGTAATAAAACAGACAATGAATAATATTAACAGCAATTATTATATGATGCAATCAAACTTATAGCAAAATGTGGTAGTTCTGTATGTTGTTTCAGGGTTGGCATCATCTGAGGTCCTCTGAGGGGTTGCATCATCTCTTCTCAGGTGTTCTGGATCCAGACTGAAGCTTGTGTAAATCCTAGTTACCACGGGATGTTAATCCCGTGGCAAAAGACAGAGAAACAAATACAAACATAATTAGCGTAGCTGCTGTTCCAACCAAGCAAAAATGATTTGTTACTTATTTGTTAGCACTAGTCTGTTAAATGCAACTATAAGCTATAAAAATATTAAGATAATATAAACATTTTCATCATGATTTTCTGTAAAGATGCTTTGAAACAATGTGCATCATATAAATTAACTTGACTTGAAAATAAAAACTTGTTTGCAATTAAACACTTTTTGTAACACGTCAACATTGTTCCTTTTGAAGAAATAACACTGAGTTAAAGGGGTCATATGATGCGATTTCAAGTTTTCCTTTCTCTTTGGAGTGTTACAAGCTGATTGTGCATAGATAAGATCCCTAAAATTGCAAAGACTAGGTACTATCTTAAACAGTGTAGTTCTACGCTCAGCGGTACATAAGCAGCGACATCAGTTCAATAAAGTCAAAGTACGGCAAGTTCAAATTATGTCATTCAATATTATGCAACATGAAATTAAATGCAATTAATTTCTTCCTGACCATATCAGCAGGTAAACTGTAAATAAATCAGCTGTAATCTTAACCATCTACTTTCAAGATACCCTGAAAGATTCTAGAGAGTCTGATTTAGCAGATGCTGATATACAGTGGGGCAAATAAGTATTTGATACACTGCTGATTTTTCAAGTTTTCCCACTTACAAAGAATGGAGAGATCTGTAATTTTCATCGTAGGTACACCTCAACTGTGAGAGACAGAATCAAAAAAAAATCCAGAAAATCACATTGTATGATTTTTAAATAATTAATTTCCATTTTATTGCATGGACATCAGTTCAATAAAGTCAAAGTACGGCAAGTTCAGATTATGTCATTCAATATTATGCAACATGAAATTAAATGCAATTAATTTCTTCCTGACCATATCAGCAGGTAAACTGTAAATAAATCAGCTGTAATCTTAACCATCTACTTTCAAGATACCCTGAAAGATTCTATTTGAAGAACAGTCTGATTTAGCAGATGCTGATATATGAGTAAATAAAAAAAATCTAATAATTAAAGCCAAATCTTGCCTCATGATTCTCCTGATGAAACTGAAAGGGGAAAAAGCAGCAGCAGTAGCAGCAATTGTTCCATTAAGGTAAATCGATGACCTCTTAAATTGGGAAGTCTGTGTAAACACTGAGAATTTAAAACTTGGAAAATTTCACAGAAGAGTGGCTTATTTGCTCCAAAACCTAAAATGAACTAAAGTATTATCCCCGTTAAAGGAAGTCTCGTATGTTCATCGAGGCTGCATTTATTTGACCAAGTAAAAACAGTAAAATTTTGATATATTACAATTTTAAATAACTTGAAAAAATTTTATAATGTAATTTATTCCTGTGATGCAAAGCTGAATTTTCAGCATCATTACTCCAGTCTTCAGTGTCACATGATCCTGCAGAAATCATTCTAATACGCTGATTTGCTGCTGAAACATTCTTATTATTATCAATGTTGTAAAAATATTTTTTTTTATGGAAACCATGCTACATTTTTTTCAGGATTCTTTGATGTATAGAAATGTCAAAAGTCGTCAGATTATTTGAAACCGAAATCTTTTGAAATATTATAAAATGTCTTTACTGTCACCTTTGATCAATTTAATGCATCCTTGTGGACTAAAAGTAATAATTTCTTTTAGAAAACAAATAGTACTGACTTTTGAACGATACATTAAAATGATCTGGGGAATTTCTAAAACATTAAAACATCTGGTTACTCACTTGTGCATTCAAGTTGATAATAAATTAATGTAAGTATACTTAAAAATGTATAAATAGTATAATTTAATATAATTTTTGTAAAAAAGTATATAAAGTAAACCTGACTGAATGAACTAGCGATTAATAACAGTATATAGGTTTAAAACAACATGAGGGAGAGTAAATAATGACAGCTTTTTTTATTTTAGATGAATTATTCCTTTAAAAAATTTTAATTCTATGGCATATTATTTTGTTTTTAGGTAGGACAGCTGCTGTACACAACTGACGTTCCTGTACACAAGCCCACTTTACCTTAAAATAGCACTACCACCACCAAACGCGTGATGCATGAATTTCCCTACAGCCTGTCCATATAAATCACATTGGGATTCACCCTACTCGCTCTCTGGCTAAGGGCTGTCCACTTAGCTTTTGTGTGTCAAAATAAATCCATACTGAACAAATGAATGAAAACCAGTTGGAAATGGTCTGTAAAAGTACTTGAGCATCATAAAGCAGGTGCACCACACTGCAGAGGAGGAGGAAGACAGGCTGATTACTCCTGTCTGCCATCAGGATGCTCTCGGAGAGAGAGAGATGGGGCCAAACCAGACCTGAGCCTACATGTGGTACACATTTGAGACTATAAACACACACACACGAGCTCTCTGGCAAACCTCCCACCCATCAAACACTGGGAGAGGAATAACAGTGTGGAGTGGCCTGTTGCATGCAAAGCACACCCAACCTACACCCCGGCCCTCCTCCTCGCCCACTCGCTTTTATCAAAGAAACATGCCGCCCATTCACCGAGGATGTGGAAGTGCGCTGCGATAAATAAAACGGCATCAGGGGTGGAAATGTTTATGCACAGAGATCGGCTAGTTTAGTTGGGCCAGACCACAGCTAACGCTTCACCAAACTGTCAGTTCTGACAAAAAAAAAAAGAAACACACACACCCACCCACCCGCCCACACACACAAAAGCTCAAATAGATCAAGAAAATGAACACGAAGCTCCAGTTTATTCTTTTTAAAAAACAAAATTGTATCTGAAACTGAAATGCATTAAGCAGTTAAATGATAAACATTTATCAACAAAACGCTATATTGTATCACATGACCTCATCACAATGCATGATTAATTCAGTATTTAGTTATCTCAGATTAAAAATTAAAAAATGCATTTTGTTGTTAAAATATATATTTTTTTATAGTTATCATTTTAGTAACAGTTTTAGTTTATTATAATAACCCTGCTTGGCAGTCTGTTTAAATGGAAATTGATAATCACGTCAGGCATACTGATATACTGGGATACAGCAAGGTGTTTTTCATACTTTCATCCCGTTGTGAGGGGCCCCCTTCCTAAAATATAAACTCAGGATTATATATTTTCATGTAAAAACTATTTACATAAATATTTAAACAAATAATAAGAAACGACATGAAAAGTAAATATAAGAATAAATGAATACATCTAAATAAAAATTAACATTAAATTATTTCTATTAAGTTGAAATTGTATATTTTTTCTACCCCACCATTGGAATACTGTTTAGATGCATAAAAATAAAAACATAAAACTGTGGAATAAAATGTTTTGTGATTAATCTGTGATGTTCGATCAATCCATAAAAAGCGGAATAAAACCATAATAATATATACAATTATAAAATTCGGAATTTTTTTTACATTTTACTATTATTTATTATATTCTTTTTAAAATTACGTTAATTTATTTATTTACTTACGCTTTTCTTCAGACCCCAATTTAAAACCCCTTGGGAACCCCATCAGTTCTAATGTTGTTTTGTCCACTGAATGGCTCTCAGCTCTCGATGTACCCCATAAAGCAGCTCTGCAAATACACAAAAACACAAAGTCAAGCTTGAGTGGATACAACTTTATAAAATGTCTGCATGATGTGAGCTGTTTGGATTTGCACCTGATCATCAGCTTGATTTAGTGATGAGCGAAAAGTCAGATGCTGTTTGGCCACGTCAAGGGACGAGCATCGTGCGAATGAGATCACAGGCCTGGGGAACATGCACAGTCCAGGCCTGTGACCAGCTGCTTCTCTAGCTGTCCTTCACTTCCTGCTGCAGCCTGTAATGCACTGAGAAGACGGTGCACAGCTTTAGCAAGGCTGCGTTGAAAACAAGCAAACAAGCACATCAAATATCACATCCTCTTGAGGGGTAATCAGAGGAAGTCCCATCAATCAGTTAACATTTGTTGCATACTGCTGACATCTTCCTGATGCTCAGGCCATCACTCACTCTCAGAGACTTTCAGTAAGAAATTCATGATCTGAAACAATTACCTATTTTTTTTTTACTTACTGCCATAGACAAGATCAGAGATTCAGTTAACATTTTTCACTTAATAGTCCTCATGAAAGCTATGTTAGTCAAAACCTCACCTAAAATTGTGTATTGTATAATGTTTGTTTGGTCACATGGTCACAAAAAAACACATAAAAAATACTTTATTAATTTATTTTATTTTAATTATTTCATTTTTAATTTAATTTTAATATTTTATTTAAATTAGCCGTATTATATCAAAATATATTTATATAATATGTACATGACAGAAATAGAGAGAGAGATACCAAATAAAAAATAAATTCTAATTAATTTGAATCAAAATGAATTTTTATTGAAAAATGTATGAATATCTTTATTCATTTAACTTTTTAATAATACCAAACAAATAACAGTATATCAAAATATTTTATATTATATTATTAATAATATAACAAATAAATACAAAAAACATACAGTTTTAAAAAATATTTATATTTATTTCAAATATTTATCTAATATAACAGCATATTTTGGTAATAACTTTTGGATTCCAATGGGAAAAAAGCAATGCAGGGTATGGGAGGTGAGATGGTGGGTAGATTTAAGAAAGTTTTAAGAAATACAAAGTTCTGTCATGAAACTCTAGATGGCGCAGGCCAACAGGTTCTAACTCAATCACATTATTATTCACATGGCACAGCTGACTGGTTTCTTTTCACATCAGCAACAAATTAACTTGCTGCTTTCAAATACTTGGCTAGTGTTTGCAGTAGCAGTTGCAGCGCGCTTCAGAAACCCTCCACCTTCCCCAGCTCCACCTGTATAGATCTGTTACAGGGTGATTTCATGTATGTTATATATAGGGGCTATTTTATATATATGTGCAGCAGCAGTATTTCTCACATGCTCACTGCAGCATGTCTGTGGATGTATTGACCAATGTTGTAAAAATCTTGGCATCTGCATCTTGGCAGCGCGTCACGGATAATCGAAAATGGGCAATCCGGCAATCCACCTGTCACTCAAGTGGCCACGCCCTTAATTATGCAGAACTTTAAGGCTTAATATAATTTAAACGGATGAGTTATAAAAAAAATTCACCCCCCTCACAGTTGTCATGAAGGGCAAAATTAGCTATATAGACCAAAATAATTTTTTGAACCAGGCTGTAAACATGTTTTTTTCTGCTGTAAACTTGGACATTTTAACATGGGGAGTCTATGGGACTGACTTCCTTTTGCAGCCAGCCTCTAGCGGCCAGTTGACGAATTACAGTTTAAGTCACTTCCGTGTTGGTTCCACGAGAGAGAGCAGGAGGTTGCCGCTTGATTTGCACACACTTGGCGAATAAAGTTAATTCTGATTTGTTTGAATCCGCATGAATCCACTGGATGAGAATGAGTTAGTTTATAGTCCTAGTCTTCGACGAGGTCATTTTCAGGCCCTCTCCACACCTGACAGCTTCTTTTGCTGAAGGTTCAGCGAGTTTATGCACATTGCCAATAAAATGTAAGCCAGAAGATGACAAGCAAATCCAGCTCAGTAAACTGGGGATGCTACCCTCTTGATGAGTAAATTACAGAGGATGTGGAAACTAATGAGCGTATGAGTTTTTGACGAGAGGGAGGCGCATATCAGGGATGAAACCCTGGAGGTTTGGAGCAACAGAGTCATAAAAAAAGTGGCTGTTTGTGTCTCCATGTGCAATTGCCTAGAGCATACGGCGAGATACACATCCACATCACGGTGAGTTGGCTCTTCATTAATAATACACTACAAAGTTTCCCTCGCCACTTTTTTGGCCCAAGCATGCTGCAAGATACAACACGAGATGATGCTGAATGAAATAAAGTCTGCTCTGATTTTAAGGGTACATTTACAGTCCGGCCTTTATAACGTAGGCACTATAGCACGTGCCTCACTAAAGCCAACCCAAAGCTTTGGTTGAATACTCAATGCGCCCATTTCTACAGGAAACATTCATGTCGAATGGGCTTGGAACGCAGCGTCTGTCTCAGTGGAGAGTCATTGTGAAGGATGACATCTGAGATTATAAATCAACAAGCCTCGCCATGACTTCAGAAACCGACTGAAACCACAAGAGCAATATACTTCATGATGGAATCCACCAAGGACAGGATCCTCATCTTGCTGTCATGCAATGCTGACGAGATCCAGCGAGAGATTGCGAGCTTTCTTAACACACCTAGCAATCATTGCTCCAAATAAACATTCCATGTAGACATTCATGCAACTACTACATTTAACCGTCACAGGCTCCCAAGATACACCCAAGATAAATGTACCCTGCACTGTTTCAAAACAGGAATGACAGGTATCTCTTGATTAGATTGGATGCAGCTAGCCAAAAAATGAGCCTTGTAATAATATTTGGGTGTCAGGTAGAGGTACATCAGGCACACACCTGTCTTTCTTAATGTCAGAAAAAACAAGAAGCAGACAGGAAATGCATGATCCTGACAGGAAGCTAATGGGGTAAGGGCAGTCAGAGCCCTTTAGAGTTGGAGCCGAGGTAAACGAGTATGCCTGAACCGGGCCTCCGCTCCGCTCAGGGAGTATCAGGTTCTGCCACATGGGTCAGCTAAGTCGAGTTGTGTGTACCTTTCTTTTCAAGTGCTGACTCTTCACATTTAGAGCCTCGTCACGGCTATCGGTCCTATCCATCTGGGTTTCCTCGCAGGATTCTGGGTCTTAGGATGCATCCAGTTGCGTCTCTGCAAACAGCGAGTGCATCTGCTTTAAAAACAAGCACAAGCATGACATAGACTCTATGAATATACTCTTTAAAAAGAAAGGTTGTCGCAGTAATGCCACTGAAGAACCTTTTTTGGTTCCCCAAAGAACCTTTCAGTCAACAGTTCTTAAAATAACGCTTTTTTTTCTTAGTGTGAAGAACTATTTTCTTTTAATGAATAGTTTTAATCAATAACATAACGACCATTATATCTGAAATAAACCAAATCGAATTTGTAATCATTATTGAATCTGGAAATACATTCCCTGACAAGTCAAAGTCCACCACTGTAAATTAAGATGGCTGAAGCATTTGTGTCAGTATGCCTTTATTCAGAACAATGTGAGATTGAGGAGAACATCTCTCGATGCTGAAGAAGAAACACGAGAGGATTTAGTGGGAAGGAACAACGATGGCCAAAATCATCCTCCACCAGGACTGATCCTCTAAACATCTCTTTTCCTCCATATTGGAGATCTGGGAAGCTCGTCTGAGCCATCTTATCATGGGAGGAAATGGTTGATTTGATGTGGCGTTGGGCCGTGGGCTTGGATCCTTTCCCACCTTCTGTCAGAAAGGTCATACTAGGAGGAAGAGTCAAGGGAATTGCTGCAAGCCCCCCATCCAAATGAGACACCCCATATCCTCCTTCTACGCTGTTCAACGGTTCCACTTCGGGGTCACTTGATCCGAATCGCAGAAAGCCACACCCCTTTCAGAGTCTGCGAATGTGCTCAGAGTTACATAATAGCATGATTCAGAAATCTAAAGGCATGTGGTGGACTTGGATTTGGTGTAAGGGGGTTTCGTAACACATGATGATGCAATCGCGTGACTCTACCCATTCTCACTGTGAACCAGAACGCATGGCGTTCACAGGCCTCTGGGAAGGCCGCTTTCCACCCATTTCTGTGCCTGCAGGTTTAACTGTGGGATTCCAGGCTGCAGGAAAACACATTTTACTGCATTTCCATAGTGGTTGTGGAATTGTTATTTTCCTCTTCTTTTCCAGGGTTCCTGCTGATGCTGTTGTCTGATGGCGGTTTGTCAGCCGAGTGACAATTCCTGCTTAATTTCAAGAGGAAGCCTGAATGCCCTCAAACATGTCTGCTGATAGCTTTGTTCCTTGGCCAAGAGCAAACCGTTCAGTTCAGCTGTGGAGCTGCTCCCCAGAGCCAAAGCGTCATAGAAGCAATTAACCATGGGTAGTTTGGCTTAATGAATACTATCAATTACAAAGCCTCTGTACTTACAGAGCTGGAAAAACTCTGGGAGTGTGTGGCATTTCAGAGGGGGAAAAATGTACGTAAAAAATTCATATCGAGATTATTTTTAGCAGTTTTGTGTTACTTGAGATGAATGTTTAGTAATAAAACAGCAATCTTCATGATCTCTAAATCGACTCAGGTTAATGAGCACAAACCCAAGGCTACATAGCTGTTGCCCTGCAATATGAGTTAGCACATGCTCTCAAAGATGTTTTTTGTTTGTTTAGTTTGCTTGTTGATTAGTTTCAGATCTGAACACTTCACAAGGCAGGATCTGAGAGTCTGGAACCAAACCCATTACAATAAACTGAAACTACTACAGCCAAAATAGAGCAGAGAGCAAGTCTAAGTTAAATGCACAAACAATGACTCAACAAATAAAAAGTCTTGATTTAACATCACAATACACCATATAGTCCTATGCAGATACTTTTATAGATTTTACATGTTTTTGTGTTGCCACTTGGCCAGAACTGAATTCTGTAAAGATGAAAGAGTTAAAATGATAGGACATGCCAATCCCAGGGTACCAAAAGACAAAGTTGAAACATGCAGCAAATTATCATTATCTAGATACTACATGACAATTTTGCTATGTTTGTCTATGAAGGTCAGTGTTTGCTGGGGTGCAGCTCAGTTGTGAGTGCCTAGGATGTCACAGAAATGTTTGTACTCGGCACTGAGGGTGTTTGAAGTTATTTAAAACTGTTTTGCTAACCTCATCTACGTGCCTTTTCTACTAAATCCCTCCATGGAAAAACATGTCAGCAAACCCAAATGTGCAAAATAAGAGTTTAAACCTTTTTTGGTAATGCAGGCCGCTTCCATGACCCTTCTTTACTTACAAATAATACATTCAGCTCAGTTTACAGAGCCTAGAGCTGATGTGGTCAAGGAGTAGTTCATACAAAAATGAAAATTTGCTGACAATTTACTCGCAGGCCATTCAAGATGACGTTTTTTATCTAAACAGATTTAGCATTATATCACTCGCTCACTAATGGATCCTTTGCAGTGAATAGGTGCCGTCAGAATGAGAGTCCAAACAGCTGATAAAAACATCACAATAATCCACGAGTAAATCACATGACTCCAGTCCATCAATTAATGTCTTGTGAAGTGAAAAGTGAGTGTTTGCAAGAAACAAATCCATCATTAAGGTGTTTTAAACTTCAAACCGTTGCTTCCGGCAAAAATTCAAGTCCATAATTCATAATAATGCTTCGTGCAGTGAAAAAGTCCATTGCCTGTTTTCCCCTCACATCAAAATCCACCAACATATTTGGACTGTTTTCACTAGTAAACAGTGCTTGATCTGTGCATCTCTCCTGATTCAGATTAAATAACATTTTCACTGAAGAAAGCAATATTATGTATAGAGGACTTGCTGGAAGCAACAGTTTGAAGTTAAAATATCTTTATTGGATTTGTTTATTACAAACATGCAGCCTGCTGCTTCACAAACCATTGTTAATTGATGGACTGGAGTCAGCAGTTTGGACTCTCATTCTGACGGCACCCATTCTCTGCAGAGGATCCATTGGGGAGCAAGTGATGGAATGCTGAATTCATCAAACAAACTCATCTAGGATCTTGGATGGCCTGAGAGTGAGTACATTTTCATTCTTGAGTGAACTATTCCTTTGACTTACACAAAAAGTAAATGAACTTTAAAAAGTAAACAAAAAAATGGTTCTTGAAAAAACTGTTCACTAAATGGTTCTCTGTTATTTGTAGGCTGCATCATAAAGTGTACTTACATATTTATTTTGGATGGGAAAAGTCCAAACAAATCCCGCTCCAGTTCAAACCAAGGAGGTCATATTGGGTTTTAAAGAGTGCTTCGCCTCTGCTTGGAGATGGCCAATCACAGATTAGAATTTTGAGATGACACCTGGACTGGCCAATCACACTTTAGGGATTTAGTGCTTGACACGCATCCACGCTTGGAGTTTTGCTGTTGCCAAGTGGCCTCATTCCAGATCCGCTGTTGAAAACAATCGGAAAAAGAAGACAGTCAAGATCTGCTGCTGACATATTGACATTAAACATAGGGAGCTTTGTTCAAGATTTTGATAGCAGCGTAACAGCAAAAATGCACCGAGGGGAGATTATTACATGGCAATCACACTTTAGGGATTTAGTGCTCACCCATCTTGACACGCATCCACGCTTGGAGTTTTGCTGTTGCCAAGTGGCCTCATTCCAGATCCGCTGTTGAAAACAATCGGAAAAAGAAGACAGTCAAGATCTGCTGCTGACATATTGACATTAAACATAGGGAGCTTTGTTCAAGATTTTGATAGCAGCGTAACAGCAAAAATGCACCGAGGGGAGATTATTACATGGTACCCACAAACAAGAGTGCACTTAGTAGTGTGTGAACCTACCTTTCCCCCAGACGCAGATAGAGGGACTGCAGTTCTCTACAAGCCCACTGGTGATTCGTTGGCAGAGTCCGGCCTTTCTCAGGCTTTGCTTTTTCTACAGTTTGTGGCTTTCAACAAGATGTGGTTTTAATGTCACAGCACACTAAAGTTATAGTCTGACAAGAAAAAAAGGCAGTTGTACCCAGAGAGTGATCCTGATGGATGAAGCCTGGGAAATCTGCGACATGGTTAAAAACCTCAGTGGAATCAGTGCACATCAGGGGCTATTATATGATGGTGAGATGTGATCGCTTAGCATGATATCTTCTAAGATCCCTGAGAAACCTGTGGGCAGGGCCTCTGTGAAGACAGGCTCGGTCTTACAGGAAGTATAAATTACTTCCTGTGCTGAATGATAATTATGTTTTTTAATCATGAGCTTTAGCAATAATTTTAAATGCTGAGAGTGAAGAAGAAGAATAACGACCCCTTAGGGCAAATAAACCATACAGCTAAATAAAAACAATTAAAAAAAACAACCCAATGGGAGCATAGAGCTGTGTGCAAAAGGTTTTCCCATATCAGTATTATAGATAAAATATATCTAATCTATAAATTACTTAAGTTATATTTTAATGGATTACTTTTACTTTAGTAAAACATAATACGATGATGATAATAATAATAATAATAATAATAATAATAAAACTAGACACAATAAAATTAAAAAGTAAAAAATTAGTTTACATTTTTTTTAAAGTATGTTTTTAAAGAAATTAATATTTTTATTCAGCAAGGATGCATTACATTGCTTAAAAGTCCACTCCACTATTTTTGTAAATCATGAAAAAAACAAAGTAAAAAATATTTATCTGGATTAAAAAAAATGTAGTGAGGCCAACATAAAAGTTGCAACAAATTCAAATGTTCAAGCAAAGTTGAAGCTCCTTCAGTAAAGTGCAGAAGTACTCATTGACACTACTATCAATGCAAAAAATACATGGACTGTGTAAGGCCATTTTCAGCAGTATGAAGGTGATATAAGAACACAACCAATATCATAATTCTAATATTTAATAGTCATTACTGTAGTGTTGTAACAACCATTGGCACAAGCTAAAATAACAAAAATAAGACTAATCTCAATATGATTTTCTCTCATCAGTGGTGTTCAATATTGTCCTTCATTAAAGCAATAAGCCACAAAAGGCAGTATGCTACAGTGATTTTACTACAGGTAAGCATGTTCTTTGGCACAGTGCAAAGAAGAGTATCTAAAACACTCTAAAAATGGCAGCAGGAGTGCATATACTCACAATAAGAGTGCAGTACTCTCAGCTCCATTTAACACATTTTTACCAGGAATCCATTCCACAGATTTCCCCCCAAAATCAACACAAAAATGCCATTACCTTGCCATTCCAGCTGCCAGTCTTGTGGAAGTCATTGGTTTCCATGTAAGTAGTGTTGGAGAGCGAGTGGCCACTCATACCTTTGAGTTCATCGACCGTCAACATGGAGAAGCAGAGGTACATCAGTCCTTGTGAAACAAAATTTATGACGGTTTCAGGCAGCGGAAGGGAAGAGATACATGCTAGCACAGGGGTGCCCAAACTCGGTCCTGGAGGGCCGGTGTCCTGAAGAGTTTAGCTCCAACCCCAATTAAACACACCTGAACCAGCTAATCAAGCTCTTACTAGGCATACTAGAAACTTAAAGGCAGGTGTGTTGAGGCAAGTAGGAGCTAAACTCTGCAGGACACCGGCCCTCCAGGACCGAGTTTGGGCAGCCCTGTGCTAGACGCTTCTTGCCCATGATCTTCCGGATAGTAATGCGGCACAGGTTCATCAATCTCCTCGGGTTTCCTGTGTTGGAAAGCAATATTAGCTAGTACATATCAGGCCTCAAAGACCTTTAGTAAGACATTTAGTAATTTGACAGTCATGGAAAGAATAATTTTTGAAGTTATACCCTTAAATAAAACAATTTAGCAATTTTGAATCTCCTGAATTTCCTGCACTGCCTTTTTCAAGTTTACTGTTTTACATAATTTTCTCTTATTAAAAACATACCTTCAACAAAATGTTCACATCTTGTATATGTTTTTAGTATTTATATACTTTTATATTATTTATTAATATTTTGAATAATTTTTCATGTTTATATATTCCATTTTCATTTTAATTTTAGTGTTTAAGCTTTACAAATTTTAAGTCTTTTGCCATTTTGTTAGTTTTTTATAGTTCTAAATGGCTTTGATTTTTTTTCAGGTTTTTTTGTAATTTTATTATTTCAACTTAAACTTATTTCAATTAATTGCCAAATCAACATTTCAAATTTTGGTTTTTTTATTTATTTAAAATTTTTTTATCTATTATTTATTTATTTTATTTTATTGTAGTTTTATTTAAATTACCAAAAACTATTTCAACAGTTTTAATTAAAGAATTTGTATGAAGAAATAAAAATAAATAAATAAATATTATTTAAATAAATATTATATATTTCTTTTTTTTCATATTAAAAGTGCATAGCATATGACTAAAATCCACTGAAAATTTAAAATGTTCATCTACCTGTGATAACGAAAAATTTACTTTTCATATTTAAAAATTGTGAACTTGTTGGTCTTCATTTTACATAAAAAATTTAATATTTTTTTGCTATAAAACTTTCACAATCCTAAAACTTTCCATTTATATCCAGGTTTAAATGAAACTAATTCTAGATTTTTTTAATTTGCATTTAACACCGCAAAAATATATACTGCATAACAGAAGTGACCCCAATAATGACATCAAGAACACATCTTACTTTTGGCCTCCTGGTAGATGCGAAAGACTTCAGCATTGACTTTTAAGCGAACCATGGTGTCAGGATCAAGCTCATCCCAGGGGACTAGATACGGGTCAGCGCCGTGGTCCAGCAGCAAGCTAACGAAGGCTGGTTCACATCCAAGTTTCAGAACTGCATCCAGCATACAGAAGGCCCGGCCCCTGACCAGTGCGTCCCTGCTCACGGGGCCATTGTAGTTGAAGTTTGGGTTGGCACTGGCATTCAGAAGCATCCGGAAGCAGGGGAGGTGGTGGTAAGCAGCGCTGATGAAAAGTGGACAGGCTGCCAGAGTTGTCAAAGTGCGGGTGCCGAACATAAACCTCTGGTCCAGCCGGTGTATCAGCTTTGAACCTGTGTGTATTCCAGGGCAATCAGCATAATCATAATTCACACTTAAATGATCCATGAGAACATACACTGGCAGCCAAAAGTCTGGAATAATTACGATTTTTTATGTTTTTGAAAGAAGTCCGTTCTGCTCACCCAAAGCTGCATTTATTTGATCAAAACACAGTAAAAACAGTAATATTGTGAAATATTACTACTTATTTAAAATAACTGTTTTCTATTTGCATATATTTTAAAATGAAATTCATTCTTTTGATGTAAAGCTGAATTTTCAGCAGCCATTTTTCCAGTCTTCAGTGACACGATCCTTCAGAAATCATTCTAATATGCTGATTTGGTGCTCAAGAAACATTCCTTATGTTTATCGATGTTGAAAACAGAAGCACTGCTTAATATTTTTGATCGAAACCGTGATACACTACAGTAGACATTTGTCATGTTACAAAAATTATATTTTAAATAAATGCCGTTCAGTGAACGAAAATATGATTCAAAGACAAAGACTGTTTTCAACATTGATAATAATCAACAAGCACTAATAATAATTGAGCACCAAATTAGTGATTTCTGAAGTCAAGAATTCAGCTTCGCATCACAGAAATAAATTACAGTAATTTTAAAATATATTCAAACAGAAAACAGTTCTTTTAAATTTTAAAAATATGCCACAATATTGCTGTTTTTACTGTATTTGTGATCAAATAAATGCAGCCTTAGTGAGCATTATTCCAACTTTTGGCCACCAGTGTAGAGTTGGAACTGAACTCCATTTTCAGTATTTTATGTAGTTATAGATTTTACAAGATATCCCGACCTGATCAGCTCTAGTAGGATTTCCACTCGGCCCACTTGTGCAGTGTGGTATATTGGGGTGCTCCGGTGATGAATGCTGCCATTCGGATCAGCACCGGCTTTCAGAAGGATCTTCACACAGTCCAGGTGTCCATTAACCACAGCCATGTACAGAGCAGTCTGACCCTTCACATCCACCAGGTCCACTGCAGCTCCCTGAGAGATCAGGTAGTCCACACACTCGCTGTGACTCATCATGGCAGCGATACGCAGGGGCGTGCAGGGCAGCAAACCACAGGACCAAATCAACTTCTCATTGATCCTCCTAAAAATAATTCAATGTTACACATTGAAAAAACAATCATATATTCTGTGTTAAGAATATCACCTTTGAACTGCACCTGAAATGAGGATAAACACGGGTTGTGAGTTTTGTCCAATGTAAAACGTGGGTCCTATAGCAAAAACCAGTGGTGTGTAGGCACCCTTAAAGGAATGGTTCACCAAAAATGGAAAACTTACTCACCCTCAGGCCATCCAAGATGAGTTTAATGAGTTTGTGGAACAGTGTGAATTACTTATTCTGACGGCACCCATTCACTGCAGAAGATCCATTGGTGAGCAAGTGATGTAATGCTAAATTTCTCCAAATCTGTTACCATGAAGAAACAAACTCATCTACATCTTGGATGGCCTGAGGGTGAGTGAATTTACAGCAAGATCCATTTAAGATATTTTTAATGAACATTACGAGGTCAAAAAAAAGTATAAATACATGGATGAATTGGTTATAGTAAGATCTATAACATGCAGGGGCGGATTTAGTGAATTGGGGGCCCCAGGCAAAATATAGGATCTGACGGCACCCATTCACTGCAGAAGATCCATTGGTGAGCAAGTGATGTAATGCTAAATTTCTCCAAATCTGTTACCATGAAGAAACAAACTCATCTACATCTTGGATGGCCTGAGGGTGAGTGAATTTACAGCAAGATCCATTTAAGATATTTTTAATGAACATTACGAGGTCAAAAAAAAGTATAAATACATGGATGAATTGGTTATAGTAAGATCTATAACATGCAGGGGCGGATTTAGTGAATTGGGGGCCCCAGGCAAAATATAGGAACGGGGCTCTATACATTTGCACATATTTACCTAGATCAACCTTGAGGTTCCTTTTTTGTTGTGATGCTTTCTGCTGCACAGTGGTGCGCCATAGTTGTGTCCAGTGTTTCTACTTTTTTCATGTACATGTTATAATGGCTTTCTTATGTTGTAGACCACAAAATACCAATTGATTTACAGTTGAGATAAAGGTTTTCACAAAAAAAAAAGGTTTAAAGACTCAATTGTGAGATTTGTCATTTTATCATTTATTTTAAGAAAAGGGATGAGTCAGAAATATAAATTATTATTTTAATTTAATTTTAGTTATCTGGCTGAATTTGGTCTGAACAAAAACTGCAGACTGGATTATTGAAAATGCACATTCATTCTCTGCCAGTAGGAAACTTTACTGAAAACAGTCGGTTCCCTTCAGAGATTCATTCATATAAAAACTTGAAATAGTGAGAATGAGAAAAGTATTAAAAAAATATAGCCTATATTGATGAGGGAAATCCACTGATGAGTTACCAGCATAAGACCTCTGATAACATGCATTTAGAAAACTGTACATTTTCATTTTATGCCAACTTTAATGAATAATTCAGAGAAAACCCTCACTGTTTGAAGCTCTCTTCTTGTAGGAGGGTCTTGAGAGTGTCTAGATCTCCCACATGGGCAGCATTATGTAGACTCATGTCCTCACACTGTTCCAGAGGCCTGTCGCCAAACTGCTCCTGAAGCCATCCTCTCAGGTTATGACCTAACAGAGAGACAGAGACCAGATCAGCTCAATTACATCAGCAATATTTGATGCTTGTGAGAACAAGATTCATATTTCAGTCATGTGTTGAATAATAAATCTGTAATCTCAAAAAGCTTATTGACACCATGAACGTATATAATAACCACAAACACGATTCCTAGGTTATGTGCCGCTACAATGCCTTTATATACAAGAACAAAGTTAAAAACAAGCCCATAATTATTTTTGACGTTCCCGCGACACTGTAGTTCCGTGGCAACCGACAATACTTTCAGCTTCAAATATGTGAATTTAGTTTCAGTAATGTAAGTATTTTGAATAAGAATATCTCGCTAGTGTTTGTTGTCAGCAATAATGGTGTGAACAGCCCCTAATCGAACATGATAATGCAAATAAATATTGACATTCAGATCAGAGGGATAATGACATAACGTTAGCAGCTGCAGAAGTGTTTGGGCCAGGGACCGGTGGGACCTCAGCATCCCCTTCAACAACATTCTCATCAGCCATCGTTTTTGTACTGTACATAAACCATAAAAAAGTGTCTGTGCCTTTTTCCTAATGCTGTTTTTAGTAGCGGCAGTGCGTCACGGACTCTTGGCTGCATGACTGTATGAGCAGGTCTGATTGGCTGACCAGCAGCTGTCTGTCACAGGCTCATCTGGATGTAAGGTGGACTGCTCTGCTTCAAATTAAGCTGAAAATACTTGAGTGGTTTCTAAGTGTGGATATGTGCATTCTTATATGATTCTTTGATCCCAAGTGATTTTAAATATAAAATGTACCTATATACAGTGGGGCAAAAAAAGTATTTAGTCAGCCACCAATTGTGCAAGTTCTCCCACTTAAAAAGATGAGAGAGGCCTGTAATTTTCATCATAGGTATACCTCAACTATGAGAGACAAAATGAGAAAAAAAATCCAGAAAATCACATTGTAGGATTTTTAAAGAATTTATTTGCAAATTATGGTGGAAAACAAGTATTTGGTCAATAACAAAATTTCATCTCAATACTTTGTTATAATATACCCTTTGTTGGCAATGACAGACGTCAAACGTTTTCTGTAAGTCTTCACAAGGTTGTCACACACTGTTGCTGGTATTTTGGCCCATTCCTCAAGAGCAGTAATGTTTTGGGGCTGTCGCTGGACATGGAACATCATCATATTTTTGACAGTTTTCCTGGGATGCATCCATATACTCACAGACCTTCTGCTCATTCATTCAGAGACGCGAGGAGCCCCAGAGCAGAGCAGGTGAGTGTAGATCTCAGTCCAGTACACTCTCTGGAGGCTGAAGACAAAGCTTGAATATCTTTAACTGTGGTAGGTGACTCGAGTCTGTCATTGTTGGAAGTTTATACTGAAGAGCTGCAGACGCATACCGTATTGCTGCCTGACGACAGCTGAACCTTGAACACTGGCCTACAGGCCTGAAAAATAAACAGTGAGCCTGACGGCCTCATGTGTCTCTGAAGAGTACAGGACCGCAGGGAGAAACACCACTCAACTCTCTAAAACGTGTTCTGAGTGATTTTAAAAAGTTGCTATGCAGTTGCTAAGGTGTTCTAAGCGATTCTTAAAGCTTTTTTAGGATTGTTATGCAGTTGCTTGTGCACTGGTACAGTGTTCAGGGTAGTAGGTGGTTTTTAGATCAGGCTCTGCTTTATAGTCTGCCAAGTCAGAAGTAATGCCAAGTGATAGTGAGAGTAACATCACACCTCTTTTGAACATAACACACAATTTGAGAACATGCCGAGTAGCATGCTGGAGTTTAATACGTGTGGTTAGTGGTTTGTTTAAACCCCTAACCCTAAATATGAGCAATAGTAATAATGAATTGAGGTTTACTTTTTAGAACAATCCTTTGTTAATAGCATTTTAATGACGGATTGGCTTTTCCTGGAGGTCGATCACCAAAGAGTTCCTTTTGACCAAAAGTCCTCATTAATAAAGGCATAAACTAAAAAAGGGACTTATTTCAATGTAGGAAACCGAAGAACACAAGTTTCACCTGTTCACTGGTCATCTTGCTAAAGCAGCACAATCATTTCTGACAGTCCCAAGGACCCTCTGGCTGGGGTTTTCTCCCGGGCCCACAGCAGGAGAACACTCAGACAAAAGAGCCCCGCAGGGCACACGGCCTGTTCACTCTGACCTAATCCAAATGTTCGCTCAGGCAGGTGCCCATGTTTTCAAGGGCCTCCAAATCCTGATCTTAAATGGCCCGGTTGACTGTTACTTAATAGGCGTTTGAGCGCTCCTGCAGTATGTGTGTGTGAGCCTGCGGTGCAGCGGTTTCAAGCTCTGCCAGAATAAAAATCAAAACTGATGTGCTGATACAGGCTTTTAAAATGTTATTCAATGTTTTCGCTGCGTCCCACCGGGTCAGCTTTCCAGAGCGTGGTGTGTGACACGTTAAACACGTCCAGGCCTTTTTGTGAACTCATCAGAAACATTCACTTGGCGTGTTTACCGCTGCTCTGAAACGCAATTCAAAACAGTCAGTAAAATGTCACAGTGTTTACTTAACGGTGACATGTGTAATTTTTGTCACTGGCGTCACCAAACAGAATTGGAAAAATAATGACTATGTTGCAAGTACTGTATCCCCCAAACCGCATGCATTATAAAATGGTCACAATTTACACTTTTAACAGAAATGTAACTGTTTATTAGACTTCACTACAAAATTAATATTCATCTGTGACCTATGATACAAACAACATATACACAAAATGTACAGCAAAAAGTACGGATATGGTAAACATCGTTTACAGTGTAAATGGTCGTCTCTTTTACGAAGTAAATGGAAACGCAAATATATTTCATTGACATTTAAGAAGTTGATTTTACTTCAAATAAATAGCAAACTATTTTGTGTCATGGTGCACAGCTGATAATACTGATAATCTGTATATTGAAGTCTGATTCTACTGACATTCATGCTGTGTGGTTCAGTTGTAAAATTCATCTAGACACTGGTACAGTACCACAGTATCCATAAAGTGTGACTAGTTATACACGTTGAAGATTTTCTACATGTTTTGCTTGACCAGTGGATCAACTTTAACAGATTGGACCCGTTATTGCTTCATCTAACACAGTTTTTCATGTCATAACCTTGTCAAAATAAAAATGTTCAAATTGCTTCATGGATTTCAGTTTGCAGTAGAAAACGCTCTCAACAGCCCTCTAAAAAGTGTCTTGGAAAGTTTTTCAGTCATGTTTTCTCAGTTGATCAGTTGAACTTTTTCATTATTAATATTAATTTGAAACATACACATACACAGTTGATCAAGGTACATTTCTTGATTTATACAATAAATTGAAATAAAAGACACTTGTGCAATCTAATCTTGTTTCTTTGAACATATATTTAGCTAACTGAGAGGTTTTTGATGCATACAGGTAAATGATGTGCTGTATTACAGTCTAATTTATCAAAGTGCAGGTGCGCGTGTGTAATGCTTCTCCAATTTTTGGCAATTCTAATGCTCATCTGCTCATTCTATTGCTTACTAACAGCTTTAGAGAATTACATTAAAATATATTTATATATCATATATATATATATATATATATATATATATATATTTATATATATATATATATATATATATATATATACATATGTCATATTGTCATATTTGCATGTTTTCTGTCTGCTTCTTGACACCACATACAGGACTGTAGTTTGTATACAAAAAATGTTAAATATATATTTATGCATATGACAAGTGTCTATATGTGTGTGTGTGTGTGTGTGTATGACTTTTTTTCTCACAATTCTGAGAACCGCGAGACAAACTCAGAATTCTGACTTTCTTTCTCGCTATTCCGAGTTTACATCTCGCAATTCTGTCTTTTTATCTGAATTCTAAATTTACATCTCGCAACTCAGTTTTTTCTTTTTGCACTAAATAAAAAAGAAAATCACAACTTTCTCTCACAATTCTGTCTTTTTTCTTGCAATTGCAAGTTTATTTCTAACATTCTGACTTTCCTTCTCAGAATTTCATTAAAAAAGTCCAAACTGTGAGATAAAAAGTCGTAATTAACTTTTTGTTATTTAATCTCAGAAATAAAGAAAATGACAGAAACAAGCTTCCATAGTTTTCAATGCACACATATACATATATAAATAAATATATATTCACATATGTGATATATTGCCAATGTTCTCTTATGAGACTAAAACACTTGTCAGTCTGGATGGAAAAAAGCAAAATAAAAATTAAATAAACCAGTCAATCTGTTTTCCTAAGAGAACATGGAGATCAATTGAAGTCCTCTTTAAAAAAAATAAAGGACACATCAGTATGGTGACCACACACATTTATCTTTCAAGCAAGTGATGAGTGTAAATCTACTGCAGACGTATGAGTGTGCTTGAGAATCCCAACGGACCAGCGCAAACAGATCCTGGGTCTTACAGAAGGCACCTTTCATGAAGGGGGTTTGAGGAGAGTGACTCCTGACTGTACCTGCACCCTCTGAACTCTCTCCAGTGCTGCTCAAAGACATCAGATCTATTAGACAGGAGCTCTTCAGGTTTCAGGTTTCTTTTGGGATGTGCTGGTATTCACGTCTGTGAGGAGAAGCTAATGCTGGATACCATCTTCTGGATCTTCTCCTCGTTCTTCAGGATGCTGGACTTGACTGCGCAGATCTTGTCCACTTTTTTTCTCACAATTCTGAGAACCGCGAGACAAACTCAGAATTCTGACTTTCTTTCTCGCTATTCCGAGTTTACATCTCGCAATTCTGTCTTTTTATCTGAATTCTAAATTTACACCTCGCAACTCAGTTTTTTCTTTTTGCACTAAATAAAAAAGAAAATCACAACTTTCTCTCACAATTCTGGCTTTTTTCTTGCAATTGCAAGTTTACTTCTAACATTCTGACTTTCCTTCTCAGAATTTCATTAAAAAAGTCCAAACTGTGAGATAAAAAGTCATAATTAACTTTTTATTATTTAATCTCAGAAATAAAGAAAATGACAGAAACAAGCTTCCATAGTTTTCAATGCACACATATACATATATAAATAAATATATATTCACATATGTGATATATTGCCAATGTTCTCTTATGAGACTAAAACACTTGTCAGTCTGGATGGAAAAAAGCAAAATAAAAATAAAATAAACCAGTCAATCTGTTTTCCTAAGAGAACATGGAGATCAATTGAAGTCCTCTTTAAAAAAAATAAAGGACACATCAGTATGGTGACCACACACATTTATCTTTCAAGCAAGTGATGAGTGCAAATCTACTGCAGACGTATGAGTGTGCTTGAGAATCCCAACGGACCAGCGCAAACAGATCCTGGGTCTTACAGAAGGCACCTTTCATGAAGGGGGTTTGAGGAGAGTGACTCCTGACTGTACCTGCACCCTCTGAACTCTCTCCAGTGCTGCTCAAAGACATCAGATCTATTAGACAGGAGCTCTTCAGGTTTCAGGTTTCTTTTGGGATGTGCTGGTATTCACGTCTGTGAGGAGAAGCTAATGCTGGATACCATCTTCTGGATCTTCTCCTCGTTCTTCAGGATGCTGGACTTGACTGCGCAGATCTTGTCCTGCTGGTCTTTGATTAACTGCTCTAGTTCAGCGAGCTCAGCCTTCAGAGGTTCCACAACGCTGTCTGTAATTCTGAGATATAGACATAGACAGAGAAACGGCTTAACACAGAAGAACAAGACATTCAAAAAGCAGCTGGAGATTTTAATCATGATAAATATTATTATTATTTTTATAGCCAATATAATTGACAATTTTATATATAAAAAATAAAGAAAGTAATTGTAAATAATAATAAAAAAAATAGAATAAATTAATGCATACCAAATTTTCCAGAATATAAGTCACGGTTTTTACATTTAAGACATGCTGTGATTTACATTCCATACAACTCAGCAAATTGGTAATGCTCTATTTAAATCAATTTTGAATAAATTGGACCATTATTTGTATGACTTCTGAGTTCCAAATCAATCATTTAAGAGGTTTCAGTTCAGTTAAGATGCTGTCTATGTAGGCAGTATCCAGCAAGGCAGCTTACTAGGCTTAGGGACAGAGCCAATATGCATGTGCACCTTTGTTCCTGTAGCAGAGCCTGTGTATTCTCCTTGTTCTCTTTGCGCCATGTCTGCAGTTCGTTCTGCATAGAGTCCATGTCCTCCTGAATGTAGTCCATGATCTTACCCAGAGGCAGAGCGCTGCGACACACCGTTTGTATGGACGAACGTAGGCGCTCGATCTCCTTCGCCACCAATTCACGTTCCTTCTTACGAGACACCTCCGACACCAGTGACCGATCCTACAGACAAGACAGAACCACAGGAAACAGATCAACACTTGCAGTCTCAAAACAATGTCACTCTTCCTGACTGCTATTTCTTCTGTCAGAGTTCTGTCACAGTCACTTATGAATGGAAAAGTTGTGACAGGTTGTCAAAAAAAAAAATGTAATGGTACAAAAGTCCAAGTGCAAAGCCACGTAAACAAATGCTAATTGTTGTCTACACAAAAAAGGTACAAAAGCTGTCACTGGAGTGTACATTTTCAAAAGGTACACTTTTGTACCTTATTTATCCCTAAAGGGTGCATATTAATACCTAAAGTGTACATATCAGTTCCTTTTGAAAGGGTACCGCCCCAGTGACAGCTTTTGTACCTTTTTTTTTTTCAGTGTGTAGACAACAGTTAGCATATGTTTAAGTGACTTTGCATCATATACTCGCCCTCATGTCATTTCAAACCTGTATGACCTTCTTTCCTCTGTAGTACAAAAAAGAAGATATTTAAAAAAATACAGGTTTGTCCATACAATGAAAGTCAATGGGGTCCAATGACTTTCATTATTTATACAACAACAGTTGAAATGCTCCTCAAAATATCTTTTAATTTTTTTTTTATGTGTCACAAGTCAAATACAAACACCTATGTAAATGACTGAAAAATTACTAGTGGGAAGTCACTCCCATAAGGGAGCACTTCAGATAAATGCTATAAATGTTATAAAGTTTAGAAGAAATCTACACCTACCAACAATATACTTTTGGGGGAAAAAAGCAGCAGGGAGAAGTCTGCATTTAGTGGTTTTCAATGTCAAGGCTACAAATGTTTAGAATTTCAAGGCAGGAATTATACAAACCTTGCAATGTATATAAAGATCAAAATGAAAGAGACATGGGATCCATAATGTGAGTGAGTGGTTACTGAAGGCCTCCTCTGTATACGGTGTGGTTGGGGGGTCCTGGTCTGCCCCAGTCACCCTTCAGCCGAGCGTAAGAAGGCCCCCCCGGCACACAGGGCCCGTGTCTATTTACTCAGCTGGGGCCACAGGCTGTGTGTGGCACTAGGCCAAACAGGCTTTACTCTTACTGCCTCTGTCCCACTCAGACACACGCACATACACACCCCCACATGCAAGACATGACTTTGTTTATTTTAGTAACAGGCTATGGCAGTGAAGTTATTTTACAACAGTATTCGGTAACAACTACTTCACATTTACCTAATTTCAAGCTGAACTCCTCAAGTTATATAGTCATTCTCACTATAAACACCAACATCTTCCTTTCTAAAGCCACGTTCACACCGCCAGCCAGTGACGTTGTAGCTGTATGTCACTAGACTCTGTACTGTGAAGCAGGGGCGATTCCAGGATTTTCATTTTAGTAGGCTCAGCCCCCCATGAGGGTATAATATATATATATATATATATATATATATATATACTATGTGATATATACATATATATATATATATGTATGTATGTACAGTATATATGTATGTATATATATTCAAATGAAAATGGCAACATCGTTTTATAAAGTATATGCATTCATATGTGCTTAATTTTCACTGGAGGAAACCTGAGGTATGATGAGGGGTGAATGCAGTGAAAACTTAGACTACAGTAGATGGGGAACCGATTGCTCCCTCATGATATTCTGTAAACTGTATTTATGACAAATAACTGCACAGATGCAGATATTATAACAATCTATCAATAAACACACACCTTGTCCTCTGTTTCTCGCTTTGTGCCGCTGCAGTCTGCGAATTGAAAAAGAACGCGCTGAAAGACGGGGAGGAGCCGATCGAAGTCTGCTGCCGTTTTCATATGAAATTAAAAGGGGACTGAGGCGATCACGAATTTATGTTTTTAATAAATTAAGTTTATGGAACTAATCGCAACATTTTAATGGCAACAATGGCCTAGTGACGCCCATGCTGTGAAGACACTTGTGTTCCTAGTGCTGTCGCTCTAATGTTATTGGTAGACGTCTGGAGATATCTTGGGGCAGTCATTGCCTAATGGTTAGAGAGTCGGACTTAACCCGAAGGTTGTGGTTTCGAGTCTCAGGTCTGGCAGGAATTGTCGGTGGGGGGAGTGAATGTACAGCGCTCTCTTCCACCTTCAATACTACGACTGAGGTGAGACCCTTAAACAAGGCACCGAACCCACTGCTCCAGGTGTGTGTTCACGGTGTGTGTGTTAGTTCACTACTGTGTATGTGCACTTGGATGGGTTAAATGCAGAGCACGAATTCCGAGTATGGGTCACCATACTTGGCCACATGTTGCTTTATCGCTGCACTTTCTTTAGAAAATGCAATAACAAAGATATCATTCTTAGACTGCATTCTGCTGTTAGAGAGTGTTGTTATATAAACTACAGCAGAGCTCAGTGCATTAAATCATTAACCAATTCTAAACTGCTCACTGCATCATATAATTAACAACATGAAACATTAATATATGAATCAAACTCACAAAGACTGCAGACAATTTCTTTTCCACGAATCATTTTCTATATCCATGTATGTGGTTACAATCAAATCATATAAAACAGTGAAATCTCATAATCGTTAATTTGCATAAAGTTAAATTAATCTTAACTTTTGTCGCTTCACACAACCTACATTCTGTCACTAGCGGTCACTGTCGCTCGTGTCGCTGGAAGTCGCCATGTTGCTTTATCGCTGCGTGTCTCTGGCAGTGTGAACAGGGCATAAAGGGATAGTTCACCCAAAAATGATTTCAAACGTGCTTTCACATGGAGCAGCATTTACTACACAAAGCCATTGTTCAATGACAAGCTGCGCAAAACCACATTCATATATGATCGTGGTTTTGCGCAGCTTACAGTTAACAACGGCTCCGTGTAGTAAATGCTGCACCATGTGAAAGCACGCACGTGGAGATTTACCGCTGATTACAGAACCGACTTTACTGACAAGATGCGCATTAAATATTACATGCAATTTATTGTGCAGCCCTATTTGCAAGTTTGATTCATTTCATGTGATTCAAATTCTCTTCTTCCATGGATCAATTTATTACCCGATTCTCAATCAATTCAAAATCTATATATTTTCACACACTATAAATACACACAAACAAAACACACACAGACATACACACAGACCAAAATATATATAAGAAAAATATAAATAGGTAAATATTAACATTTATTCCCATGCATAGTTACATTGGCGTGTAAAAATGATTGTACTTAAAATGTTTGGAATATATATATATATACATATATATATATATATATATATGTGTGTGTGTGTGTGTGTGTGTGTGTGTGTGTGCAATATTAATATTACTTTATTTATAAAATATTACTTTATTTATAAAAAATACTAACACACGTAGTCCTACATAGATATACAGTTGGTCAAACATTATTAAGATTTGAAATCTGAAAATATTTTCATAAAGTGGCGGTCTCTAATCATCTGTGGTTTTAAACCGAACGTTTATTGTTACAAATATACAGAGTTTGGTGACTCTATTACAAACACTTCAAAGGCTAACTATGCCGCTTCACTCTAGAACTCTAACAAACACGTGAGAAGAAAGACTACCTTAAATTTTTCCCCCTCTCTCTGTGGTTTACAAGTGTGTCCGGATTGAAATGTCTAATAGTTGTCTGCAATGTGGGTGGTTTCTCCGGCCCCTAAACACCCCGTCTATACAAACACCAGCCAGCACATTCGGCCCACTGTTCTTGGAGCGCAAAGGCCAGGCCGGATTCGCTCTGTTTGCCGTCCTCCTGCACCTCACCCCTTAGTCAAAAAGAAAAGAAAAACTCCAGCTTTCTGTCTCAGAGGACATAAATCAATCGTTTATAGGGGCTCTAATTTTCCCCTCTCTTCACTGGACCCAAGAAAAATATTTGTTTTGCACGAGGCAGCTGAGGACAGGTTTTCCCATTATCTCAGACAGTGACACAAGCAGGACGTGGAGTCGGTGTGCCTGGGGCAGGTGGCTTTCAGAGACGCTGATGCATTGGGCCGGAGCCTCGTGGACCAAGACGCCTCATTACCCCGCTATGTGGATCTGAGCCTTCAGCTGCCAAGCCCAATTTGCTTAATGAAGAAATGCATGCAAAATGCATGATTTATAGAGTGCTAATAAAGAACTATGAAAAGAAGCAGAACAGCACTGTTCAAATTAGAGTTTTGCAGTCCTCCTGAGAATGATAAACATGCTGTAGTGCCACATCATGGTTCTGTGGATCTGAAACGTTGAGTTCAAATGTGATTCACGAGATAAAATGGGCTTAAATTACTACAGTTAGGACAAGTGTGACAGCTTTAAAAATTAAGGGAGTAATTTATTTGCCACTAGCAAAACTCGCTGCTTAAAACAGACTGCAGTTTAGTTTGGTACTTCTAGTGGGACAGAAATCAACATGTAAACAAAGAAGCTTTATCTTTCTAGCTGAGTGTGATAGGGGTTTTCTTTAGCTCTGAATGATAGCACAGGCAGACTACACATAAACATGATAGCAGAGGATTAGGTTCACACAACCAGTCAGAAATTAAGTAATGTTTCCCAAGCCTTAGTACTTGCTTCACTTCAATAAGGACATCACTGAAAAAAGCGATAACTTGCAGTTTAGTAAGGGAGTCATACGTAGATTCAGTAATTAATCCAGTGAGTTTTCCGTCAGACTGATTCAAATCAGTAACGTGAGTGAAACCGATTCATTAAAAGAAGCTGCTCAATCGAACTACACTGGCGTTGCATTTGTTTTTGCATGCATTCAAATCAGACTGCATAAAATTACATTCACAAATCTGGTAAATATGATTTTTTTATGCTGGGGAGTCATAGAAATGGGCAAACACTGAGATTAACTGCGACAGAAACAATACTTGAAAATAAAATTTTTATCAGTTTATTGTTTAAACTTGTATATCACTCGTCCCTAGTTTGCATTCATTAAGCTTTTTTGATTAGTCCTCAGTTGGGAAGGGAATGTCTACCTGATCACTTAAAGGTAACAACAATTATCATAAAAAAAAAAAGTGTTACTTTTTGATTGGTTACAATAGCATCTTGGGTTGTTACACTGATTGGCTAAAGCCAGCGCATTGGCTGGACACTTTCAAAATATTTCACTTATGATTTAAAACTATTTTAACTTGACATGTTAAAAAATGCTGTTGCATTAATCGGCTGAAGACACAAAAAGCAGTAAAAACTTGTGGCTTCAATGGTCTATTTTAGACAGCTTGCTACTGGTCTAAAACTCTATGGTGGGTCTTTGGGTCCAATACTGACTCATAAGGGTAAAGATTAATTGTTTAGCAACGTTTAGGGGTTTCCTCCTTGGGGAAAACATGGGCCTCATCCAGCAACATCATAAAAATAGCTGGGATGAAGTGAAGTGCAGAGAGGCTGAGTCGTGTACACAGGATGGAAGGGTCAGTTTGGCCCTGTGGGGGGTCACTGCTGAGATCACCGTCCTGTACTTGCGTGCTAAGCGGATCACCACAGAACCACAGTGTATGACACAGTTCGGCTTATGAGAAACAGACAGCAGTAGGACTGAAATGAAACGCAACCAATTACGCTATCAGACTTCAGAAACCTGTACCGTGGTATTTCCCCGTAACCTCCAGGGTCATTCCACAGAGATGTCAATCGTCTCTGGGTGAGGGCAAAATGTTGAGGAATGCAACGGGAGTCATTTCTTTTACATTTCCAACAAAAAGGTAGATGTTTACAAAGACACAGGCCTGAAGGGATGACTATTTATTTTCCTGCCTGTTCTGCAGTGCAAGCTGGCGTGGCGTTCACTCAACAGCCATCCGTTTGTGTGCCATGGGGTTTATTTATACATTGCAAACCATCATCAGGCTAATTTGATGGCGCAAAAGAGGGAAAAGGAAGGAGGAAAAAATGCTTATGAAAACGCAGCTGCTGTCAGGGGCCAATACTCTCGCTCTCTCAAAAAAAAAAGACGCCCTACAAGAAATATCGTAGAATAATATACACGTGATCTGGAAGTTCACAACAAAGGTCAGCTGCAAAATGTATGGCAAATTCTTCAGGAAAATGCACTGTGATGGTGAAACGGTCGTTCGTAATATTGCATCTGGCCGGTTCTTTCAGTCAAATGAAACAATAACGGCCTAGCAGATCTTAATAAATGAAGTTCTGTCGACCCTAGCGAGGTAAATCTTCACTTATGAAGTGGAACGGAAAACTCAAGCTAATAAAGCCACAGAATGACTCATTGGCTCAGTTTCACCTTTGGAATTATTAAATGGTCAAAACTCTAAATTCTGTGGTCGTTCCAAAGAGATTAAGTCATACGTACTTGATGTGGGGATCTCTGTAAACTCAAAATCTTTTTTGAGATTTGAGAGCGAAAGCTCATATTTGTAGAATGAGTTATGAGCGTTGTAACTTCAAACCTGTCGGGGAGGACATGGAAGCTCAATATTTAAATTTTAACCCTGGATGTTACACCGTGATTACAGGAGAGCAGTCACTTTATTGCACTGACCTTCACCCCCCTTTCAAGTCAGGAAGGAAGTCATTACAGATTTTTTTTCCCCAATACATCTGACTAGACAGTGCCGGTTAACATGTACTGCCCCGAAAACACATGCCCATTTCATGCACCGCAATTAAGATGGAGAATTTAGAGAGCTGATGAGGCTAAATTAAATCAATTAGGAGAGCGCGGCCAGCAGCGCTCAGATTCCAGCCCAGAGTTGGCTTGCGTTTGATGAGGGAAATCTAATTTGATTATTTGGGATTGAAAGGAAATCCAGTCTGATTGTTTTGAAATCAAGAACACAGGAGGGAGAAGCGCTGACTGTAAGGGCCAGCTGGGAGCAGCTCACTGTGTGCGGCTGAGGTTGAACACCAAATGGGATCGTGCCAGTGGCGAGGCACGCAGAGCTCATGCCTTCTATGAAAAAAAATTGTAACTGAATGAACTAAATTAAACTTTTGTGAACATTTACTCACCCTTATGTCATTCCAAATCGGTATAATTTTCTTTCTTCCATGCAACACATGAGGAGAAAAGTTGATGAACTGATTAACCACTCTTTTCCATATAAAGAAATGTAATGGGGACTCAATCACGCTCCAAAAAGATGTGCCACTTCAGTTTTGCCATCAAACCTACTTGACATTGCTCATTTACTTTCATTTTATGACAAATTGACAAATGTATAAGACCTTCTAAATCTTATATTTAAGCTTTTGAATTAATATGAGGTAAAGGAAACTTCATATACTGTACACTACTGTTAGAAAGTTGACCTTTTCTATATTAACAATAACCTTCTTTTATTAATATTATTAGTACTATTATAGTTCTTTTGAAATCTGAAATTTCATTTAAGTAAAATTGTTCTTACTGCTTCAGAATTACTAAAAAAAAAAATAATTCAACGAATCATTAACGAACCAGAATTGTTATATGAAATTGGCAACAGAGTCAATATTCCTTACAATTCCCATCTTTATTTCTCCCCACTGCTGACTCACTCTTTGAGCATGTGACTAAGGAGGGAAGTTGAGGTGAAAGGGTGGGGGGTTCTGCATGAAGGCCACCACCAAACACTGCATCCATCAGGCCTACAGCCAATGACGGACAGATAGACCAGAGCATTCGTTCCGGCTAGGGTGGACCACCCAGTGCAGATGGCCCCTTCCACCAGCGCATGGACAGGATGCCTTCAAAACTCTAATCACATCGTTCTCATATTCACTGGCTCACAAACAGCCCAGTTCAAGCTAAAAATATGGAAAGACATTGAAAAAGTGTCACTTATTAACAATCATGTTCCAGCAGTCCTGAAAAATCATTCCACAAATTTTATGGCCAGAGAAGAAAAGTGCATTGCCTGAGCCACACTGAAACTGTGCCCAAAGAGTGAAATTTGGTTTTATTGCTTTTTGGAAATGAAATACTATCTTAATATTAATCTATATTCCACTGATGAATCTTTATACTCTCATGGGCCAAAGGACACTTCAGATAAAATCCCCCAAAAATATTAGTCTTAAAACAAATTCACAAGCAAACTCCAACTCCAAGCCACCAGCACATGCTGGTTTTCGATTTGCAATTCGGTAACCAAAACCAACAAAATTCACAAATAAACAGGCCACAATAGTTAACCATGTTAAATGTCTAAACAGCATGAACGGTGCCATCATGCTTGTTTTGCCCTAATTATTTAAGCTCCGTTGAAGAAAATAACACTTCAGTGGCTCTGAGGGACCGCAATTACATATCTCCACTCCATTTGCAAAGCTACTTTCTTTAGTAAACTGACGGTGCACTGGGTCAGGCGTCACCGAGGTATTGTAGAGCACAAAAAAATGCTGATTCCCTTGATGAAGAGATTTTGAAATGCCTTTACTCATGTTACTGGAATTTTGTTGTGAAAAACAAAACTCGGACCGTGTTAGATGGAATAGCACTGCCACCTAGTGGTATTAATGGGAACAAAAGATTGAGAACAATAACCTTCTTTTATTAATATTATTAGTACTATTATAGTTCTTTTGAAATCTGAAATTTCATTTAAGTAAAATTGTTCTTACTGCTTCAGAATTACTAAAAAAAATAATAATTCAACGAATCATTAACGAACCAGAATTGTTATATGAAATTGGCAACAGAGTCAATATTCCTTACAATTCCCATCTTTATTTCTCCCCACTGCTGACTCACTCTTTGAGCATGTGACTAAGGAGGGAAGTTGAGGTGAAAGGGTGGGGGGTTCTGCATGAAGGCCACCACCAAACACTGCATCCATCAGGCCTACAGCCAATGACGGACAGATAGACCAGAGCATTCGTTCCGGCTAGGGTGGACCACCCAGTGCAGATGGCCCCTTCCACCAGCGCATGGACAGGATGCCTTCAAAACTCTAATCACATCGTTCTCATATTCACTGGCTCACAAACAGCCCAGTTCAAGCTAAAAATATGGAAAGACATTGAAAAAGTGTCACTTATTAACAATCATGTTCCAGCAGTCCTGAAAAATCATTCCACAAATTTTATGGCCAGAGAAGAAAAGTGCATTGCCTGAGCCACACTGAAACTGTGCCCAAAGAGTGAAATTTGGTTTTATTGCTTTTTGGAAATGAAATACTATCTTAATATTAATCTATATTCCACTGATGAATCTTTATACTCTCATGGGCCAAAGGACACTTCAGATAAAATCCCCCAAAAATATTAGTCTTAAAACAAATTCACAAGCAAACTCCAACTCCAAGCCACCAGCACATGCTGGTTTTCGATTTGCAATTCGGTAACCAAAACCAACAAAATTCACAAATAAACAGGCCACAATAGTTAACCATGTTAAATGTCTAAACAGCATGAACGGTGCCATCATGCTTGTTTTGCCCTAATTATTTAAGCTCCGTTGAAGAAAATAACACTTCAGTGGCTCTGAGGGACCGCAATTACATATCTCCACTCCATTTGCAAAGTTACTTTCTTTAGTAAACTGACGGTGCACTGGGTCAGGCGTCACCGAGGTATTGTAGAGCACAAAAAAATGCTGATTCCCTTGATGAAGAGATTTTGAAATGCCTTTACTCATGTTACTGGAATTTTGTTGTGAAAAACAAAACTCGGACCGTGTTAGATGGAATAGCACTGCCACCTAGTGGTATTAATGGGAACAAAAGATTGAATCATACCTGTTCTTTAGGCTTTGTGGATGGAGATGATTCATAGACTTTCTTTGTCTCTAGGATTTTTTTCACAAGTCCACCTATGAACAAATGAAAACGTTTCAGTTATTTCTGATCTTAAAGGATTAGTTCTCTTCTGAATAAAAATGTCCTCAATTTTCTCACCCCCATGTCATCCAAGATGTTCATGTCTTTCTTTCTTCAGTCGAAAAGGAAAACATTCCAGGGTTTTTCTCTATATAGTGGACTTCAGTGGAGTTCACTGGGTGGAAGGTCCAAATTGCAGCTTCAAAGTGTTCTACACGATCCCAGACTAGGAATAAGGGTCTTATTTAGCAAAACGATCTGACATTTTCTAAAAAAAAATTACAATTGATATACTTTTTGACCTCAAATGCTCGTCTTGTCTAATTCTGCGTGAACTCTGTGCATTCCGGTTCAAGCTTCAAAGTGTTCTACACGATCCCAGACTAGGAATAAGGGTCTTATTTAGCAAAACGATCTGACATTTTCTAAAAAAAAATTACAATTGATATACTTTTTGACCTCAAATGCTCGTCTTGTCTAATTCTGCGTGAACTCTGTGCATTCCGGTTCATGACAGTTAGGTTATATTGAAAAACTCCCATCTCATGTTCTCCGCCAACTTCAAAATCGTTCTAAATCGTCCTACATTGCTGTTTTACCGTTTTTTAATAAAGGGCGTTTGACCTTCTTCGCACGTTCACTTTGTTAACACTGGGTCGGTACTTCTGCAGCGATGTAGGACGATTTTGATGTTGGAGGAGAAAATGAGATGGGAGTTTTTCGACCTACCCTAACTGTTTAGAATGGGACTGCACAGAGTACGCATGCGCATTGCAGAGCTACACAAGACAAGCGTTTGAGGTTAAAAAGTATATAATTTTTCTATCTATTATTCTAGATAAGACCCTTACTCCTCATCTGGGATCGTGTAGAACGCTTTGAAGCTGCAATTTGGACCATCCACCCAGTGAACCCCACTGAAGTCCACTATGTAGAGAAAAACCCTGGAATGTTTTCCTCAAAAACCTTAATTTCTTTTCGACTGAAGAAAGAAAGCCATGAACATCTTAGATGACATGGGGGTGAGGAAATTATGAGGAAATTTTAATCAGAAGTGAACTAATCCTTTAAGAGTGTCTTTAAAGGGTTAATTCACATAATTCATTTATGGCAGTATTTTATGTCAGGATGAATTCGTTTTGCACATGGCTCACCGTGTTTGTCATCCTCTTGCAGTTCAAGTGAATTACGCTATAACGAAACAAGTCAATTAGTCCAAACCATGATGTTTTTTTACTAGATACTTACATACGCATATAGAGCATCCACACTACCTCAATTTCAGGTATGTCAGGAGGAGGCGCAGCTGCCTCCTCCACCACAAACTGCCCATCTTCATCATCATCATCTTCAGAGAGCTTCTTGCCATCCAAAATGACAGTCGCAGGGGTCTTGCCACTGCCCAACCTTAGAAAAAACCCAGTCATGTTTAAATACAGCATTTTTTTGTTTTACTTTTTACTGATCAATGATATCTTTTATCATAAGTTCCAATTCAAAAGTTTGGAGTCAGTATAACTTTTATAAAAAATAAATCAATATTTTTATTTAGCAAGGATGCAGCAAAGTGACAGTAAAGGCATTTAAAATATTACATAATATTCCTATTTCAAATAAATGCTGTTCTTTTGAACTTTCTGTTCATGAAACCCCCTACCTAAAGTAAAATCACTGTAACACAGCCAGCTTGTGGCTTACTTCTTTAATATAAAGTGAGAAACTGAGAGCCTGATGACCGTGATCTCTCACCTCTCTGCTGGGGTCACATCAGCGTAGCTCTCCTGTCGTTTGACACGGGGGGCTGCCGGTCGTGCGCTGCTAGGTCGCGGTAATCGTCTACTTGCATAAACAAAAGAACAACAAACAAAAGAAGAATAAGTTCACACAGGAAATCCACAAGCACTTTTTGTAAAGTATGCATGCGACTTTATGCGTGGGGAGTTTAAGTAACAGAACATTCCTATATGGCTAAATGCTTACAAAAACAGTCCTCAGAACCAAGAGTAATGATCTGGATGAGAGTGATATCTTGTGGTTAGATCTTGCGGTACAGTACAGTGAAAGCAAGGGATTTGCATCAGTGGCTTCCACTGCCAGGCAATCTCTCATGGGGGGCATGTATGATACATTCCATCCAGCCGCAAATACCTCAGCACATTATCACACTGGCTTACTTTGTTATCATCGGACGGAAATATAGTAATTTTTTTTATCTTTAAATCAACACACTTATGGGAACATTACCACTAATTAAGAAAGAAAAAAAGAAAGAAAGAACAAACCTATGTGTTGTTTGGGGTGGCACAGAATTTGTTGTGTCTCCATTCTCAATAGGCACTGGTTTCTCTGTTGAAGGGGCTTCCCCTTCTGGATGAAAAAAAAATTAGAATAGATGTTTACAGAAAAGGTATACCTTTTTTGAATCAAGGAAATTCTGAATTGGCATTTAGTTTTTTTTTTTTTTTTTCTGCCAACAGCACAGGTGTTACTGTAATGTCAGCCGCTACATCTTTAGCCATTGTTTGAAACACAACTGAGACCAACAAAGTAACAGGCAGGGCAAATAAAATTAACACTCGACAAGCACCAAATGCAAGGAAAAATAGCATTTTGTGAATATATGAAATGCATGCATGCAATGCAATGCATGATTGTGAGAACATGATATGGCTTAAGTGTGATTATCAAATCGCAAAGGCTGGGATTTAAATATATAAATATATCATCTGCACTGTATTCATTTACACATAATTGGTGTGATCCAGTGTCTCGGAGCAGCTCCGTAGACAGAAAGTGCTGCAAATGTAGCTATTTATTTCAAAACGCAACATGCACCATCAGCCTTCACAAATTTTTTTTAATTTCTTATATTTTTTAGAATTTGATAAAAAAAAAAGTTTTACTTAAATAATTTTAATGTACTTTATTTCATTAGATTTTTTAAAATCAATTTAATAATGTATTTTTATTCATTGCTATTTCTATTATCGTTGTTATTATTGTACATCCATATTAAAATGGGTTCTATAAAACAACAGTGTGAATATGGCCTGAGACAACTAAAGTGAAGAGAGATTTTATGAACTATATTATGACAAAAAAAAAAACTAAATATGACAAAACAATCACAATATGGTTTTAAGGTTAAACCATTAACCTAAATTGTGATTGCAATTTCTATCAGAGAGGAGAAAACCCCCAATTAGATTTATTTGTTTCATTTGTTAAATACAGTTTCCTGGCTGGTAAAAAAAATTCTTAATATAAATAATAGTCACCAGCCACTGGCAGGTATATTAAAAAGTTAGATTTGGACCCTAGTAAGAGATGTTCACTAAAGAAAACAACACTCACCTCCTTCACTCTCAGTTTCATCTAAAACAGAGATACACAATGAATCACATTAAACAACATCTGCTGTGCTGCTAGAAACATCTAAACAGATCAGCTGGACATGCAACAAAGCATTAATGTACTGTACATCAATAATTAATAGGGTCTGTTAAGAAAGACATGTTCAGTACCTTGACCTTCTGTTTTGGGCCACCGCCGCTGTCCTTTAGCTGATGAGGGCCTTGGGATCCGGGAAGGACTCTCAGCCTGAAAGGAATGAGGAAAGACATTAGTTTCCATGCATTTTCACTAGAGTTCCTCTCCTGTGGAGCACTTAAACAGACATTAGCCAAGAAACACGTGAGTCCGCTTTCATTACAAACTCTACAATCTTCTTGGCTGTTGCTGCACACGTGAAATATCACAGACAAATAGTCGGACAATGAGAAAATGTAGGAGGAAACCGATTTCACTTGGGACAAACAGAAATTACCTGGATTTCAGAGAGATCTGTAGGCTGAATGAAGACAAAACAAAACCCAACAAAGAGCCTTAAGACTTTAACATTTATGTTTATAGTACACTTATAGCCACTAGCCAAATAAAAAAGCTCACTGCTCCAAATGAGAAACTACTGAAGCTGCAAAGACACATGGAGCGACAAAACTATACAATAGCGATGGAGCGACAAAACTAAATAATACATGAAGATACAAAATCAGTCAGTCAGAGGGTATGTAAGGGCACTTGCTAAAGCAAAACACTTAGGTTTAGGGATTTGAACAGACCCTTAAAACAGACAGTACCAAAAAAAAAAAAAAAAAGGGGGAAAACTGGGAGAAACTCGGCAAAAGATGTTCATCTGACTTCTAAAAAAAAAATTGCAGGATTATTGAACTTTCAAAAAAACTTGTTTTTAAAAGAAGTGTCAATTTTCATTTAAAATATACTTGCTTCTCATATACACTACCATCCAGTTTGGAGTCAGTAAAAAAACAATATTTTTATTCAACAAGGATGTATTACACTGTTCAAAAGTGACAGTAAAGACAGTAAAGACTAACACTCTTACAAAAAAAAAAAAACACTAAACTTTCTACTCATCAAAGAATACTTAAAAAGTGCATCAAGGACGTCAGTAAAAAAACAATATTTTTATTCAACAAGGATGTATTACACTGTTCAAAAGTGACAGTAAAGACAGTAAAGACTAACACTCTTACAAAAAAAAAAAAAACACTAAACTTTCTACTCATCAAAGAATACTTAAAAAGTGCATCAAGGTCCACAAAAATATTAAGCGGCACAACTGTTTACAACATTGATAATAGTAAGAAATATTTCATAAGCACCAAATCAGCATATTAAAATGATTTCTGAAGGATCATGTAACACTGAAGAATGGAGTACTGACCCCAAACTTTGGAACAGAAGTGTACAGTATATTGACACTTTTAAGACTTTTTAAAATGAAAAAATACTTAATTTTGCCTCAGGATCAGAGAAAATGTTACCACGGCAGGTAAAATTCTTAACTAATGTCTCAACCTGGGCGTCAGAAAGAAATCTGTTGAGACCTGATAAGTCAACCTCCACCATCAAGACTGTCCTTACGCAATGCGAAATATGCAAACACCCATTATTCTACAGCGAAGCAAAGCAGGCACTGGCATCACAACAGACTCGTACCTCCAGTTCACCGCCCTCAGCCTCCAATTCAGAGGAACAAAGACAAGAACAATAAGCTATGAGGAACATTACGTCAACCCTCAACAAGCCTTGATGATGGCACATACCTACAGAACAAACGTAAAGTGAATAAACAGAGGTTGTGAAAGAAATCAATCTTACCTCATCTGCTTCAGCTTCATGCGTTTTACTCACAACGTCTGTGTGAGGCTTTGGCTTGCTGATCTCCTCTGCTGCCTTGATCTGTAGAAGAAGACAAGCTGTAATTGAGTATTGAAAGCTGAGAAAGACTTTTAAAAGACTTTTATTTTAAATGTTACAGAAATTTGCTTTAAGGTTTCGAAATAGTGCTGAATGTTAAATATTTCTTCATTTTTGTTTGTATTAAAATTTTCACAATTCTAAAATGTTATTTCTAGGTTTAAATGGGATTTTAAATGCAAGAGAGTTGGAAAAACGGCTGGTAAAACTGGTCATTCATCTGTCATTGTGACTGGTGAGCAAAAAAGCTACAGTATCATAAAATCGTGTGAGCAAACCTTTCTATCGCCTCTGTCCTTTAGCTTCTCATCTGTTTCTCTGTGTCGTTCTTTATCTTTTTCTCTCTCCCGTCGTTTCTCACGCTCACGATCTCTCTCCTTGTCTCGTTCTCGATCTCTGTCTCTGTCTTTGCGAGATTCCCGTTCCCTTTTCTTATCCCTCTCTTTATCTCGTTCTCTCTCCTTGTCCCTGTTACGGTCCTTCTCCTTCTCACGCTCCTTCTCTCTGGTCTTGTCTTTCTCCCGATCCCGGCTCTTGTCTTTGTCTCTGTCTTTTGTCCGGTCTCTTTCGCGTCCCTTGTCAGATCTCTCGGCATCTCGCCGGCGGTCCTTGTCATCCCTCTTGCTCTCTTGATCTTTCGGTTGATCTGGATCTTTTTGCTCTCGGCTCCCGCTGCTCTCCTTGATGCCTTTCCTCTCCTGGACAACAGCCAGAGACTACATCAAATTTTCACTTTCATAACAATAAACCTAACAGCTCCATCAGCCCCCCAAAGTATTAAAAACAGATTTCATGAGTGAAAGAAAAAGGCACAATAAAAAAAGCCCAAGAGGGACAAGGAATGAATAATGATTTAAGACAACAGAAAAATCTGGCTTGGCTGAAAATATCACTGGGTCAAAGGCTAAAACAGGTCTCACCTCTCGGTCTTGGTGGCGCTCCCTGCCCTCTCTGTTCTCCTTGTCCTGGGACCTGGAGGTGCTGGGCTTCCCTTTCTGATCCAGCTTGTCTCCTGCTAACACCCGCCTAACAGCCTCGTCACTGGAGAGCTGGAACAAGGACAGGACACGCTGTTTAACAGCTTAATATAATGAACACAAGTTCCAAGCAACCCTCAGTATGCTCCCAGATTAGGGCTGTGCGATATGCGAAACGATAATGCTTAAAGTGCCACATGCTCAGATTAAACAGTTTTACTCAGCTGTTGCGGAGTCAGTTCTGTGATCTTCTATAACTATCGTGTCATATATATATATGGTTATTTGTATGCATGTATGTATCAAGAGCTCCTGTAAAACCACAACAAATTCCTTGTGTTTGCGCACACTTAAGCGGTGAATAAAGCTCATTCTGCTTCTGATTCTAATATAACTAGCATGCATGTTTCACTTTTTGTGAGAAGAAAGCACCCCTACAACAACTTCTGAAAGTGAACGGTGGTGTTTTACTCTAGCATTACATAAAAATGTCATTTTAACATTAGTGTAATCATTTTAACATGAGTTTAGGAACTGAATAATAAAAAGGAAAAATACAACACTGCTTAGCATTTACTCTATGAATTCAATATGCACTGATTCTTATTTAAGCTACAAAAGTTATTTAGGTAAGAGCAGTGAGTGATTTTCTCTTTGTCTTTTGTTCATGGCCCCAAATAGTGCAAGCCGTAGCGATATACATATTGCGATATGTACATTTGCGATATTTGGATATATTGCACAGCCCTATCCTAGACCAAACAAAACTGGATTCAGAAACAGATGGGGTAGCATGGTGGTTAATGATATGGGCTGGTGACCAAAAAAATGTAGGTTGATAATGCAATCCATGAACAATCCATGGGGATTCTCCCTGGAATAAATGGACTATGAGTCACTCTGGATAAAAGCATCAGCTAAATATGTATGCACAGTGTATTGTGTATTGTGAAAAGCACTATACAAATAAATTTGACTTGACTAGTTGACAATTTACTAACAAAATGTTTACATTTTCTGAAGAAAACATGTGGTGGGGCTTGATACAAAACTCACTGTTACCAATAGAGTATTGTGGGTGATCTATATGTTGTAAAGTGTTATTTTAGCATTATTTAGTTATTTTATTATTTCACTATTATATTATTATTTTCATTTTACTTTGTTTTAATAATTTTTATGTAAAAAGTTTTTTAAATAGTTACATTTAATTTTAATTTAGTTTAAGTTTTATTAGTTTTAGTACTTCAAATTATTCCGTTTTTCGGAATGTGTTTTCACTAGTGTTTTTCTGAATGTGTTGATTTACAGTTGCTAGGGTGTTGATTATTGGCACACAAATCAAATTAAGTCAAATGCAAGTCAATGGGATTTTTTTTTGCCCAATTTTATCTTATTGGAAAGATTGCCAGTGAAAAATGACTTCCGGTCTGTTCTTCATAGAAAGCTATCATTTGACTTCTGAAGACTTGGAATACAGTCTTATGGACTATTTTATGATCATTTAAATTGTTATGGTATTTTTTTATCCTTTTTGGAGCTTGACAGCCCCTTGTCATTATGTAGGACAAGTGCAACAACAACATTTTTCAAAATACATTATTTTGCATTCCACAGAAGAAAGAAAGTGGTGCTACATTCAAAGAAAAAGATGTTTTACAAGGTCAGATGTTTTGCTCAAAGACTCAAGGGTGACAGAGCAGGATTGTCAATTTTCCATTTGCTGGGTCACCCCTATAAATTCTGAATTTAACCATCCAGCAACTTTCACCACTGTGGCGCTCTCATGTCTTTTTCTCTTGCAACCTATAAAATATTACCAGTGTGCTGTAAAGCAGCAGAGCTGTCATTCAGCTCAATGTTTCGCACGTGCTTTTTGTCTTGCAGGCATCAGTGGGTTCCCCTGATACTGCTGCTGCCGATGTTCCATCGCTCCTTAAACTTCAGAAAAGCTCAAGGGTGCAATTAAATGAATAGTCTATAAATTACCCCCTGCGGACATCATTAGTCTTGAGTCATTCACTAGTTAAATGGCTTTGAGCGAATCCTGCAATATAGAAGTTGAGTGATCTTTAAACGCAGGACTGACCTTGTTGAGACAGCACTTAGCAATGACCTGCAGCAGCTCGTTGGTCTTCTCTGGTTCGTGTCCGGCTACGATTCGAGCAGGTTTAGCGGCCAAGGGCTCTCCGCTAACCAGCATCACCACATCGATGGCCTTCTGAAGGAATGCTATTTTTGAGTCTTTGTCCTGAATGTTACATGACGAGAAAAAGAGTAGTTGAAACAGAGTTGCAAGCATAATGTCAGTTTTCAGACAAGGTTCAAACACTGCCCCAGTCTGTTATTGTTCATACAAACAGGGAGTCCAGCACGAAACACACCACTGGATAAGCCAAGGTTGTTACTGCTAGCTCAGTTGGGCCACTTCAGCAAACAGATTGGAATTCTGCTTGGAGCCATCAGGGATGCAGAAAACAACCATTGGGCAAATGTTAAGGCAGGGATTTCCAACCTTCAGCCCAGAATTCGAGCAGTAGTGTATATCTTTCTCCTGGGTTTGAAAAGAGTGCACAAAACCACTTGAGACTCCAATAATCAATGCTGACAGTGATGTTGCTTTGTGAAAGCGTAGACAAACACAACAGAACAAGTACACACTTTATAGTAACACAATTGAACAATCAAGATGATATGTAACTTTATCTTATGTGAATCATTTGTGGTGTCAGTCTCACTCTCTTCTTAAAACATGTGAGGCACTTGGGTGCGTTTAGAACTTTCTGACGGAATATCAGTATCAGATTTCCTGATTAAATGTTGCATAAATATGTTACGTCAAGAAAACAATCTATATATATTTTTTTTAAACTATTTATTTTTAATTAATTAACTATTTATATTGAATTAAAACTAAAAAAAAAAGCAGGAAAAGTTATATCTTTTTGTCACCACCAAATGCTTTTTATTTTGATATAGCTGAGTTATTTTAGGTTTAGGCTTAATTGCACTATACACAAAGAACCTAAAGTTATCCTGATGCTTTGAACACAACAGTACATACATTATCATTTGCAGCTTGATGCGCCCACTCCTTTAAACCCTCGTTTTCTGTATTCCTGCTTTGCTGGTTATGATGAAGTGCAACTGTCTATATTGTCATGTAATGCTTTCATACTTCATGAGGTTCCTAATGAGGTCCCAGCGGCAGTACAACCTGTATGCTGATGTGATCTGTTATGATTTTACACACTCAGCAGTGTTTAATATTCAACTACTGGCTACACAATATCCATGCAATAAGAATGTTTTATGAAGCTAATCACTAAAGGCGAATTTCATGAAAACATGTTCATGTCATATACACTGCAACACAATATAAAGAAATATATTTTGCATAAAATGAAGCCCGTTTTTAGGACCATTAGAATTTTATACAATATTACATTATGACAATTAAGCATGTTTTACAGTAAAACCTGTAATATTGTGAAATATTATTACAATTTAATATACATTTTAAAATGTAATTTATTCCTGTGACAGCAAAATGACATTTTCAGTATCATTACTCCAGTTTTCAGTGTCACATGATCCTTCAGAAATCATTCAAATTTCATGAAAACACATTCATGTCATATACATTCCAACACACACAAAAAAGAAATATATTTTGCATAAAATTAAGCACATTTTAGATCATTAAGATTTTATGCCTTATGACATTAAAGCACGTTTTCCCTCCATACATTCTTTAGCATAATGGGTCCAGACTCAGATATTTTGAGTATTTAATTGAATACTTCATTAATGCAATACAACATAATTCACAATTATTTTTTTATTTTAAATCAGCATAAATCAGAATCAGAAAGGCAATACAAAAGTGCAAAAATTATAATATAATATATTATAATATAATAACTCAATGCAATGCAAAAAAATCTAATTGGGTGTTGGTGTAAATTGGTGTATGGCAAATTTATGTAATTTTTTTGGCATCAAAATGCTTCCTTCTGTCCCAGTTATTATGTATAGACATCTATAAGTTAGCTATCTGTAGTTAGATTCCCCTGAAAAGAGTTAAAACTGTGGCGCTATCAAAATATGTCATGGTATACCGTCAGACCGTCCTGCTTCGCACAGGTGTGGGGAGGTCATTTATTATGCATGCTGGGACATCAAAGGCCAGAGCTCTTTCAGACTGCCCCACGTTTGGAGAAGGATCAGACGTGAACTCCTCACTTTGCACACAGAGTGCTGTGGTGAGCTAGTAACCTGCATCTCTTACAGGGTCACTGACACTGATCCAAGTAATTCTAGTAAAAGGCACGAAGCTTTTAACAGGGAGATTTATCACACCTCATGACTCAATGCGTGGGACTTTGGCACGCTAATTAAATGGAGAGTCTTGAGTTACACTTAGTTATCTGATCAATGTCAACACCTTAACAGCAAAAAACACAGCAGAGTGGAAGTCTGAGATACTGTGGCTAATGGCTATAGAATCCAAGAACACTTAATGAGGCAGAAGATCAGGTAGATACAAGAGGTCAACTGTAACATGATGTATCACTGCCAAATAGGTGGATTAATTGGCGAGGAACATAAAACTGTCACATGATTGTGAGGTAGTACTGCAATAAGCAAGAAATAAGTGTCTGGTTTGCACATTTACTTTTAGCCAAAAATGTCTCTTAAAGGTGCACTCAGTTATTTTCCCCCCTATTAAAATACGTTTTTACACATATAAATTTAAGTGTGTAAATTTGTGTTAAACTACTGTTAAAATATTTAAGATTTTTTTAATGTAAAAAGTATCTTATGCTCACCAAGGATGCATTTATTTAATAAAAAATGCAGTAAAAACAGTAATAGTGAAATATTATTACAATTTAATTTATTTTAATATGTAATGTATTCCTGTGATGGCAAAACTGAATTTTCAGCAGCCATTATGCCAATCTTCAGTGTCACATGATCTTCAGAAATCATTCTAATATGTTGATTTACTGCTCAATCAACATTTATTATTATTATTATTATTAGCAGTTTTGCTGTTTAATATGTTTGAAAACCATGACGTGTTTTTTTCTGTATTCTTTGATGAATAGTTCAAGTTCAAAAGAACAACATTTATTTGAAATAGCAATCGTTTCTAACATTATAAACATCAATTTAATGAATCCTTGATGAATAAAAGTATGAATTTCTTAAAAAATAAATACAAATATCTTACTGATCCCATACTATTGAACGGTAGTGTATGTCAAGCGCAAGACCACTGGGATGAAGAAGAGCCAGCCAAATATAACTTAGAAAAACTGTGCACCTGATCATTCCTCTAAAAGTGGACACATTTTTATTGGTGATTTACCTTCACATTATCTGCCTTCATCTCTGCTTCTCCATAAAGTCCTTTCATAAAGCCTGTGGTACGTATTACCTAAAAAAAACGGGAAAAGTTTTTACAACCAAATTTTTAATCCAAAAGTATAAAGACATAGACTCTGTTTCACAAGTTAGCTGCCTTGTTGTCCACTGCCTTCTACGAGCATACAAACTGAAATAGAACCTCAGAAGTGATTGATTTGGAACACTCTACACAGGCAAAAACAGTTATCATCACTTTTGTAAACTGTTCACATTAATGACAACATATAATGACGGAAATATAATTTACTAAATATTCAGTATGAAAACAAAATGTGATTTAACACAACATTACACTATGACAAGCAATGGCATAACTCAAGAGGTGCGGACAGTATGCATACAGTGGACAGCCGGTGTGATTCGATCTCTCTAGCTAATCTTAGCTGAGCTTACAACCCTTGGGTCTATCTCTGGATACAAACACACCCACTTCATCCTTAACTGTCCTCTTCCTTTACCTAATACTGTCTATAACCAACTCACCTGTACAGAGCTACAACTGTACGACCAAAAGTTTGGACACACCTGACTAAATTCATGTTTCTCATGATCTTGACACCTTGGTTTTTCATTAAATGCTAGATATTTATTTTGTTGACAAATATAAATTGTGCATGCATATGAATTTCAGCACAAACTACAATCTTAATTCATTATTTCTTGAAACGGATGAGTAGGGAAAGCAGACAGTGAGTGTCCAGCATTCATGTGCAATACATATATATATATATATATATATATATATAATAAAATGAAATCATTATTATTACATATGCTATTTTAATTTGTTCAGTGTGTTTTTTCAAAACAAAACTAACAAAAGAGCAACAATATATAAGTGCAAACGACAAGCCTAACGCAGTACATGTAGCAAGGTATATATATATATATATACAAATTTGTATATTTTAATAAAATTAATTATTTAATAAATAAATTAAATAATTAATAAATTATAAATGATTTTTTAAATGAAGAATAAAAAAATTAAAAAAGAAGATAAATATAGATAAAGTAGAAGGTTTTGTAGGCAAACATTAATGCCTTGAATTTTATGCGAGCAGCTACTGATAGCCAGTGCACATTGATGAACAGAGGTGTGACGTGTGTTCTTTTCGGCTCATTAAAGATTAATCTTGCAGCGGCATTTTGGATTAATTGTAGAGGTTTGATAGAAGTGGCTGGAAGACCTGCCAAGAGAGCATTGCAACAGTCCAGCCTGGATAGAACAAGAGCTTGAACATGGAGTTGTGTTGCATGTTCTGAAAGAAAGGGCCTGATCTTCCTAATGTTGTATAAAGCAAATCTGCAGGACCGAACGGTTTTAGCAATGTGGTCTGAGAAATTCAGCTTATCAATCAATCACAACTCCAAGGTTTCTAGTTGTTTTTGAAGGAGTTATGGTTGATGAGCCTAACTAATTTATGTCTCTTTCTTCATGACAAATATAATTCTTACCTGCACAAACCGACCAGATGAAAGAAAAAGAAAAAAGACACAATGACATGATAATTAAAAAACCCTGAAAAGATACAGATTAGATTACAGAATCCAGATGATATTATTTTTAACTATGCATTCATCAATATTTTTTTATGCATTAGTTAAAAATAACTATATAGAAAGATTAACATTTTAATAGTAAATGTGTAAAAAAACGAACCAAAAATAAATGAAATACAATTAAATAATAATAATAATAATTAAAAAAAATAAACACTTTGTAAAAATAAATAAATAATTAAAAATAAGATTTAAATGAATTAAATATTTTCATTTTTTATTTAAATTTAAAAAGCAAATACATGATACAACAAATAACTAAAATAAAAAGATATACAGATTATATTACAGAATAAATATATTATTTTATAAATAATTATTTATTAATACATTAGTTCAAATAACAATATGAAAATATAATAATAACAATAATAATTTAAAAAATAGACACATTTGTAAAAATAAATAAATAATTCAAAATAAGTTTTAAATTACTTAGAAATTTTGATTTAATTATTTGTAAATAATTATTTATTAGTACATTAGTTAATAGTAAATAGTAAAATAACAATATGAAAAGAGAATAATAATAATAATAATAATTTATACATTTATAAATAAAACAAATTGTAAAAAATAAACACTTTTCTGACTTATTTTAATTTGCTCACAATAGGGCAGGGGTTTTCAAGCTGGTGGCCAAAAGAGAGTTCTAGGGGGTCCATAAAAAAAGTTGAGAAAAACTGTGTAAAAATGGCAAAACAAAAACAAACAAACAAATAAAATTAAAATAGATAAATAACTAAACAAAATAGATTTAAAAAAAAAACAAAAAAACAACCATATACCTTTTTACCCAGCTACTCTTTTCAGCTGGATGATCTTTAGATAGAGAGATCAAAACTACTTTTAAAACTTTTTTCATGTAGATTCTGTCTGATACCACTCGGCCTCCATTATTAATATCCTCACATCACAAAAATACAGATACAATGATTAAGCATGCAGCCCTCCACCTAAAAATATTATGTTGCATAACCGTGTGCATATGTGATTTCAAAGCTCATTCCTGGAATAGTAAAACAGCATGTGGCAAAGAATATGTTCTATAATGAAATTACTTAAGAAAGCATAGAGATCTTCAGATGAAAAAATCTGTTTGCATATACTACATATATACGATACAAAATATGTCCATTGAACTTCTGTGATTGGCTAAATAAACGTGAGAGGAATCCTGTATTGCCTGCATGCAAAACCTGTTTGGGAGGTTACACATAGTGAGACTATAAAAATGCCTGACATACAATGTAGTAGTTGCTGTCGGCTTGGAGAGAGGGACAGTAGATTTAGTTCACCTGTTTCACTCACGGTAGGCTCTCTTTTACTTGCTATTTTCTTGGAATTATTTAAGAATCGATCTGAATCTGAATTTATTATCCACATATAAAGGCTGGTTTCTTTGATGCAGCACTGAGAACTATCTTGGTTTCACATTACTCTCATTTGACATGCTTGAGTCTCTTTTGCATTTCATTCCAAACTTGCCAGCACGAAAAGTGTGAAAAATGTAGTTCTTAATAGAATATCAAGGGAAATTTTTACTTTCGATTTGTAACTGCATTTGATGCAGGACAAGGTATGTGCAAATTATTTGTTGGTGAAATTATTAGTTGTCATTAATATCATCAAGTTAAATGATAAAAGATTCAAATGAAAATCCGTCGCTGTCAGAGCAAAGTTTCACAAGCACGTTTGTCCAGTTTAACAGCTCTTGTCATCTATTTAAGAGTATGTCATGCAATTTCAGTAGGTGGACCCAACCTTAAAAACAGTCGAATAAAACAGAGTCACGTTTCACTTTCATTTTTATTCTCTCTTTTTTTCCTCAGGACACATAGCACATACTATAATCATGCAGCACTGGATGGTCTGCGTATTACTTTTATTTCTTGTGTTCTGTGATGTCTCTACTCAAAGGAAAAAAAAGACAGTCCAAACTCTCTCAAGAGGTATCAGTGAATTGCATACGCATAAACAGAAGTCCATATACACTCTTAAAAATAAAGGTGCTTCACGATGCCATAGAAGAACCTTTTTGTCTAAATGGTTCCATGAAGAACCTTCAACATCTGAAGAACCTTTCTGTTTCACAAAAGCTTCTTTGTGGCGAAAGAAGGTTCTTCAGATTACAAAAAGGTAAGAAAGAAATGGTTCTTTAAAGAACCTTTGACTGAATGGTTCTTTGTGGACCCAAAAATGGTTCTTCTATGGCATCGCTTGAAGAACCTTTTGAAGCACCTTTATTTTTAAGAGAGTACTATGGTAAACTGATCATAGAAAAATGTCTACATTTCTTTCAGGTTGGGGCGATGACATCACCTGGGTTCAGACTTATGAAGAAGGACTGTCTAAAGCTGTCGAAAGGTACCTACGATCCCATTAAACGCCACTCTCACTTGTGTTTTATGTATAATCAGATTTGAAATATCTGTTTTATCGTAGTAAGAAGCCTCTGATGGTCATTCATCATTTGGAGGATTGTCCGCACAGTAAAGGTTTGCATCTTTTGGATTCTGCATCAAACAGTTTACATGATCTTTAATGAAATAAAGATGTATAGATTAATTCTTTGCATCATAGATGCTCGTAAGAGTGCTTAAACAAATAGTTCACCCAAAAATAACAATTCCAAACATGTAAAGTAACAGGTGCATTGTTCCTTCAAATCAGGGGTTTTCAATCTTTTAGATGCCATTGACCCCCGAATATCGTCATCCTCGAGTGAGGATCCCATCATCGAATTTCAAAAGGAAACTATATATTTTCTTGTAAAATGTATATATATATATATATAATTTAATTGTTTATTTTGACACTTTTTACAATGTTTTTCGAACCCCAGGTTGAAAACCCCTGGTTTAAATCGCAATCTGAAAGTAACAAGTGTTTGTCTTTGCTTACAGTTTGTATAAAATGCTATTGCATGTCGATGTTTTAATCTCTTTCTGTACTCTATTTGCTTCCTTTTAGCTCTGAAAAAGGCTTTTGCTGAACATCAAACCATTCAAAGGCTGGCCAAATCAGATTTAATCATGCTCAATTTAGTGGTAAAGTACAAGTACTGTCAAATGTTCAACAGATACTGAAGTGAGAAATGCATCTAAAACGGCAAGAATAAGCTAATGATTGTGATTTTCAGCATGAGACCACCGATGCCAACTTGGCTCCTGATGGCTTTTATGTCCCCAGGATCTTGTTTGTTGGTGAGTTTTCACATTATTTCCTATTAAACAGTTCAGTGTGATGACTTGTCAAGTTGGGATTACCTGATAATATTGTATAATCGTAACCCTGTAATTAATGGGATTTCAATAGCAGAAGCAATTAATATTAGGTAATTATATCAGTGTGCAGTCTCTGGTGGAGCAAAAACAATGCACACTGGCAGTCAAAAGTTTTCAGATTTTTTAAATTGTTTTTGAAGGAAGACTATCATGTTCAC